TTATACACATAACCCTGCCCACTACTTCTACCACTTTATCTTTTTAAAAACCGCACCAAGATCTGTTGCGTTGTTTTAAAGATTTAAGCACTTACACGGGGATATAATAGGGACAGAAAAAGTAACTTTGTTTAATATTATGTAGTGATAATAGAGATATTGTGTATACATTTAGGTAAAAAATGTATAATAATAACAAAGTACATTATAAAAACTATTATAGTTATTATAATAGTAAATTAAAGCAGAGCTGTGATTCGTGTAAATCAGGTAATTAACCAACCTATAACCTGTTATATATCTATAAACACGGAAGAACTAAGAAGTTGTTTGTTACGCTAACCAAGCCAAAACAAAAAATACAATTTTGTAAAATTCATAATATAATGCTACCATGATTTCTTGTTACATCCTATATTTTAACATCGAGGGAAGTAACTAAGAGTAATTACTTCAATACAAATACTTTTAATAATACCGTAATGGTTATTATAGTGAATTAAGGATGTTTAATTTTAACACAAAAGATTTCCTATACGATTATGAGATTAACATTGATTATCAGTTATTTATAGGGCTTTTAAATAATTACACAGATTTTAATTTTAGAAGATTATTTTTGACGTTATCTTATCTATATATGAAATTACGGATTAGGGTAATGACCCTGCCTTACGAAGTAGCAGGCGTGAATTAAATACCTACGGTCCTAAGTTTCAGGAAAGTTAATATTATCAATTGCTTGTTGCCAAGATCCTTCAATTGAAGATCCAAGATTCTATCTCTGCTGATTACTACTAGGAATTTCAGTAACGGAAATCTTAATAAATCGAGCTAACTCGAGTTCAGCACTCGTGTTCACAAGTACCACCTATCTACACTCGTACTGACAGCAATAAGAGCAAGTGAGACAGGATTAATAGGACATGTGTCGATGTCCATCTAAGAATAAAAAAAAACGTTTTCTGTCAACCTTAACTCAAATGCATTACAGGAATTAACAGGGACAAATTACCTCAGTCATAACGTGAATAATTACTAACGTAAGTGTATAACGTAATTTATTTGAGTCAAATTGTATCGACAGATCGATGAATAAAAGAAAAGTTATTTTTCAATATTTTATTGTAGATATTGAAACGACGAATTAATTTTCTACCTAGGAAACTACCTAATTCATAAAGAATCCTAAGTATTTGCTCTATACTTCAGAAGACATTCCTCACATCACAGCCTCAGCCAATAAGTGCCCATGCTCAATGCTGAGCAAAGGTCTCTTCTCACGTAGCGAAAGTTTGAGTATTAAAAACCAGGCTTGCTCAAACTTGCTAAGCGATTATACATATAGACTTATTATTAAGATTTTCTTTACCGTATCAGCTGCACATATAAATGAACTTAGAAGTAAATATAACTCGGTAAAAGTCACATTGGTAAGTACCAATGTTATACTTGCCAGATGAACAGGCATCCTCATACAAAAGATACTTAACGTCGGGGTGACTATGTCCACAAGATATGAATTTAATAAAAAGATAACCAATGCACTGATCTCGTCGGCTCAGAGTTTCAAATGACATACTATTTAAGCATAGAGCATACAAGTATAAGATTTATCTTAAGTGAAATTCCCCTTTACATAACCCTCCGGGGCAGAACAAACGTGATGTTATGTATGTTTAGAAATACAAAATGCCTAGAAATGCAAATTGCATTGCTTATCTATAACATCTACTACACATAGCTCTTGACGTGTTTATGTTGAATGATGCAATGTATGGCTTATCACGCGTGTTGATAGTTATCTCATTAATAAGGTCATATGTAAATATAGTTCATAGTTAACTCTGATCATTGATAACGAGTGTCATAAACTTGACTGCTTCGAACTAGGTGTAAGAACGTTAATATAAAAATTTATATCATTGTTGTTTCTTTTATTAATAGGTATGTACCAACCAAACTTAATTTATCCTTATTGAATCGTCTGCTAATTCACTTAATGCCTCAAGATCAATATAAGTATCTATACAAAATATAAGATTAACTTTTCTGTTTATGTTTAATGGACTTTGAACCGTTATTATTATTACGCGACATAATATTATCTAGATAAAAGTCAGGTTTGTTTCCCACAAAAGACTTATCTAATTCGGATAGGTAAATATGACAAGATATAGTCTAAATATTTTCCAAACAAACACTGTCAAATTGTCACATAATTAGATATAATCTTAGGCATCCAACATCCAACGAAGTATTTTCCGCACAGTCATTGTCAAGTGATCAGATTATTTTTATTTATAGAATGAACATAGCAATATGACATAATGTTTCCATAAATAAAACTGTCAATCTGTCAATATTTTCATCAGATTAAATTAATCCGAGTATTAGAAATAAGAACACCGAATTTATAAAATTCAAGTTTATACACCTTCAGTAAAAGTTTTAGCGCTGTTTTCCATGATGGCATGTAATAAATTCAATGCAGTTTATTTTTACTCTTATTACGAGGCTGCTATTAATTATACCCTTATTATAGACCATTAGTATAAATGAAACCAAAATGAAGGAGTAATCGAATAAAAACTTTTTTGACATTTGCCTCCTAAAATTGGGCCACCTTACCACACAGCTTCTAAACGTTAATGATCTAAATCAATCCAATCTACTATAATCACTTCTCTGTAATAGTATGAAAGACTACATCAATAATTCGATAAAATTTATTTCATCTTTGTAATATTTGAGGGACGGACCCGCTGACTACCTTTAGGTCTCCTCAAGGAATACTTATAAAAATAAAAACGTTTCTCACAACCGCTCTCAGCAAGCAGGTTGGGAAACGCAGTTGGAGTTCAGAAATACGTAGTTCTTTAGCCAACTATTAAGACACCCATCGTAGGAAGAAAGGTGGTGTAAAAAAATATTCTACTGTGGTGAAGTGCTGTGTTACTACAATGTCAAAGTTATATAATTTTAATATAACTAACGATCCTAACGACGAATCCTAACGATCCTAGGGAATAGACAAAATTACAACAACCGAAAAAAAAATACTTTTTATGTTCGTTAGTAGTTTTGTGTTACCTACTGGCTATAAATCGCGACCCATTTTTATGTATGAAAAGATATTGTATTGTAAAGTATAAAAATATTTCCTTCTCGGACATGAATCAGTTGGCTTAGTATTTAATGTTCAATATAAGGTACAATTTTGCACTTTTCGGTATAAGATAAGAAAATATAGACGATAAAATTACGATTTTTTGTAACAGTAGTTAAAAGACTACTACTGGTCACCACTGGGACACCTGTATGTAATATCCTTACGCAGCCAAGAATTAAAATGTATAAGCAAAATACAATATTTTTTATTTTTTGTAGTATATCAGTTTCTTCAGCGTACTCTTTACTTGCGCCTGCGCACGTGACTATCCTGCCTGCCTACAGGTTTAACAACTGCACTACCAAGTTTGAATCCAAACTTTATTGCTTTTCATATGAGAGCGTAAGAGCATATTCTCTTCATCTTAAAGGTATCACTCCTACAATATTTTCACTACATACATACCTATCCTGTACTGTGTATTTTCTTTGGCTAGATAAGAATCTTTGAACCTAATTCACAGGCTTAGGTAGAAAAATTAAGTGAAGTTAAATTATTTTAATCATAGTACCTATAATAGCAATAGGATTTTTAAAAACTTCCTCTCGATAACGAAGACTACGGAGTTAGTTAAAGAAACGAGCTTAACTTGGGTACGGTGTGTCAACTGTATTGATTTTAAGAAGAAATTCTAGTATGAACACCTGAAGGAGGGTAGAGGCTGCGCTGGGCGGGCAGGTAAGTATGAGAGGAGGTACAACTCTTCCAGGGTTCAACATACTTATTGCAGTGCGCGCGCCTTGGGTGCAGGAAATCAATCAACGGAAATGCAGGAGCTCCATTTTGCTCGGCGGGAGAGGTCAAAGTTCAACAGGGAATAATCTACACCGCAGTTTGTATAAGGACATTATCACAGCTTGAAATGCGGTTTGATATAGGTACATCAGTACCATTTCAGCCTTAAGTAAGTACGAAATGACTATCAGAGGAGCTGTCTAATTTCAGCAGCAAAAAAAATTGAGATCTGGGACGTACAGAAATCAAAGAAAGTTAATACCATCAACAAGTAGGTAGGTAATGTAATGGGATTATAGTGATCACTTTCACTAACGATGACGCAAATTGTTCAGCTAGAGACTCGAAGTATAGGTGGAGACTTACAGGTTCCTAATCAAAGCAGTGTATTGGTTTCATTACCACCTAAAAAAATTATATAGGTAGGTTATTCAATTCGCACTTTAAGAATTAAGAAATAAGTACTGACTAAAGATGCCAGTCGTCAGTATTAAATTGTTGTACTAAAAGCTGGATATTTACCTACTTCATGACTACAAGCAATGTCAATTCGAATTTTGGTCAATCAAGTAGAAGAAGGGCATGGTAAACAAATGCATATGTATATTCCCATTACTACGTGGCTACGTACTTAATACATACTAATACGTATTAATTATGTCCATTTGATTTTAATTAGACATTGAAATTACATACTTAATACAACGGATCATCTAACTAAACTACTTCACCTAATTTACAACCAAAAAGTCATTGGCCACGGATGTACCCATTTTTATGTAATAAGCCACATGAAAACAACATTGTTTACCAAATGATTTCTCCAGAAACTAAGCCAGAAGTCAGTATATAGTTCCTATTCAATAAAAAGTTAGCTTTGAATAATGTTAGAATTTCGCTGAGCATTTGGTTTGAATTATAGTAATTACATAACACAAAGGTTGGTTTTCAGTTTTTATCAGCATGTTCCGCTGGTGTGTTGTGTACCCTGTCTAGCCTGTTGGTGAAAATCAATAAGTTCGCGCGCCGTCTCAGTGCATTGCCGCTCAGCTGTCTATTGATTTTAGAGCTATGCTAACAATAAGTAACTCACCAATAGAATGCAATTCTCTCCCCAAGGCCGTTCCTGACGTTCCTGTCCAGGACGTTGAAGCAGATGTTGGTCTTGGAGCCTTCGAGCCATTTCACGAAAATCCGTCCCTCGTTTACATTAAAATTGTAAGAGACGATATTTCCACGCTGGTATGGTGTTTGCCAATAGAATTCGTTTGCTAATTCTGACCAGAATGACTCGGGGTCTTCAAGCGATTCTTTGTGCATATTTTGATATTGCTCGAAGGAAGGCAAGAGGGATTTTTCGACGACATGGTCGGTCGGTTCATAGATGCGCGACATCGCGGATAGCGTCACAGTGCGGTCGCGCTGAGATCAAATTGTCGGCGTGAGTAGACGTGCACGCGAGCTCGCGGGATCGGCGCCGACTGTCGACTAGACTGACGTACGGACCGTGCGGTCGATCCGTCCAATGCTGCTCGACGCTCGACGCTTGCCAGCGGAACATGAGCCGCGATCGCGCCCGAGATGACGCACGCATGCAGCGCGCGTGCGCGCTCTATGCGCGGTACACTCAAACATGCTAAACCGACGCCAATCCTTCTTCTACATTGACCATTTCTTTTCGTTTTCTTAATAAGTACAACACCTGAACAGTAATCTCTGTGGATGGCAATTTATTGTAGAAGTTGTATTCGAAACGCTATGAGATCAAACGTCTAAATGTCGATTTTATTGAATACCTGGGCTTGAGATTCTTTTTTCTATAAATTGCCATATTAAATAACTATTTATGCCCGTTTTCACCAACAGCCCCTAAAATTTAAGTGTCTCTTAAGCCAATATAAGGGACACTTATCGCGAGTTTTGTTTTCACCAACGTTTAAGTGTCACCTATATCATTAGGGGTTCCTTATAATTTAGGGGATGAATTGACGACCCCGTAACGTTTAAGTGACACATAGTGTCAGGTTATTTTGCGAATCACCAAACAGTATTTTATCCTACTGAATAAGATACAAAATAAAAAAAATGGATAATAACCACTATTTATTTGAAGATTTTAAGCAATTGAAGATATGGAATTGTTAAGTAACCGACATTTGTATAGACGACCTCGTATTTATCGTGAAAGATCGAAAGATTTTGAAATATATGATGAAAAAGACTTTTTCATAAGATACAGGTTCCCTGCTCAACCTTACTTGTATTTAAAGAAAGAAACCTGTGGCACCGATTAACCAATTACTGTGTGGCCTTAGATTTTATGCAACAGGCAATCAATTATTATCTGTAGCAGACCTCAATCCCATCAGTGTATCTACTTGCAGTAGAATTATAAAAAGAGTGTCTGACGCTATCGTGGGTCGTGGCAAAGCGAATTCATACAATTTCCAGACACCGAAGAAAACCAACAAATAGTAAAAGAAGAATTTTCCAGAATAGCTCGATTTCCAAATGTTTTAGGATGTATAGACTGTACACACATAAAAATTCAATTATAAGGTTGGGCGTTTAGAGAAACACAGGTCCTTACGAGTAACCATTTATTACTGAATCTCCTATGAAATAATACATGATTTAATAAGATGGATAGACACGCACACATACAGATACGGCAGATCTTTGTGTCATATTTATTGAGCCTCCAGCGAATACCGTCGTTCGCACACCTATCGTCTTTCTATGATGTCTCTATTAATGATATTCAAAAGTCTTTTAATTGTATTAACTAGAAACCTTCTTTACATTTATTCATGTGATAAATTATAGGAGGAGATGATGCCGAACTATTCTGGAATAGAAAAAGCAGTATGTCTATTAATATGCAAACAATAAGTACTGCAAAATTATTAATAACTGATGTGGTGACTCGCTAGCCAGGATAAACAACATTCTTTATCTTCAAGTGAAAAATTTTGACCACGTTTCCTCTTTTCTGCCATTGTAATTAATAAAAATTTGGTATTTTTTGAAAATACACGAAATGATTGAAATGAAACTGTCACTGGATAGTGGCATCAAAATGTCACCGGCACCGCGTCTTTGTAAGCTATGGCATTCAACATACAGCCAAAAAATAAAAACACAACTTTTTGTTACTAATCTAACATTCACCAGTTCAAGACTCTTCTTTTCGAAATAAATTGAAGTTAGAAAAGTTAATTACTTGTTTTAAGGTTGTATATTTACGAAAATAACAATAGAATTGTCTAATCGATTCATTTATCGATAACTGTTTGCATAGTTCCTCAACACTAAACGTCACCTAATTAGGGGGCTCTTACCAGGCCATAAACTCCAAAAAAAAAAAAAATTAGGGGGCTCTTAGTTAGGTGACACTTAGGACAGTGAAACAAAATTTAAGTTACGGGATGATTTGAACGGTCCCCTAAGTTAAGTGGCCCTTACTAAGGTGACTGCTTAGGGGCTGTTGGTGAAAACGGGCATTAGTCATATTTAAGATAATTCATAATTATACATTCGTAGCATTAACTTGAAAGATTTCATCCATTACTTGAGTTTATATGAAAATAACGATTATTTCAATGAATTTAGTTCCTTACGATTTCCGTCTAATGATAGTTAGGTACCTACCTACCTATCTACTATTCAAAAATTTGATGCATGAATAGCAAATGCAAGTCTGGTGTTCTGTTCTACGTTCCAACGTAACCAAACATTAATGGGTTATTAGGGTTTTAATGGTGCCGTGGCTAAATTGCGAAAAGCGTACCTAACATTAACAGATAAGTAGTATTAGGGTCATGTCTTTCTGTCCGTCCGTATGTCACAGCCGCTTTGTTGCAAAATTATAAGAACTACCTACTTATTCTATGAAATTTGTTTAAGCAGATGTATTCTGTTAATTGCATTAGATAAGATTTTCAAACAATAATAAAGCAGCTTTTCAGAATCGTCTGGATACCCATATGTTTGGGGTATAGTAATAAAAAATAATAAATTATTTTACTTGCTGCTACAGAATCTTAGGGTGAGTCGTTTTTTGAAGGGCGGAATAGGACGGCAGACTAGTAGATGGATGACTTAGTGGTGGGATTCGGTGCCGCCCCAACCCGCAACACCAGAAAAGTTCCGATCACTGTTTATGTAGTTTCGTGCGCCGATTACCTGTGAAGCCTGGATATGGTGGCCCATTCCTGGTGTCTTATCCACGTGAAAAAGTTAAGTAAAATATGGTTTCAATTAAAGCATTGTTTCCCTGCATCTGACTTACCTATCAGGTCGCTTCTAATTTCCATCGACCGATCTGGAACTGGAGTTTATTTATTACTAGCTTCCGCCAGCGGCTTCGCCCGCGTGCTGTGTTGATAAAAAGCAGCCTATAGCAATATAACAAAATCGAAGTATACATAAAATTTGTTGTAAATCGTCTCGTTTTGTTGGGTACATCAACAATCTGTAATACCCTATTACTCACTAAGTCTCCGCTATCCGTCCGTCCATAGATACAATGGTACCTACGGATCTAATTAATAGGTATGTATTATATTAAATGACTAACTACTCTCGCGTGGTTTCACCCGCTGCTCGGTTCCATTTAATCGTAGCGTGATGTTTTATAGCCTATAGCACTCAGGAACATTGTAGCTATCTATCAGTGAAAGAATTTTGGCAATCCAACCAGCGGTTCCAAAGATCACCCCCTACATACAAACTTACAAATTTTACCTGTACTGTAAAACATTTTTTTTAGATAATTTAATGTAGAATATTTCCGTCATACATAATTTGTATGTAACTTTAACCATTAAGGTTACACACACGACGGAAACTTACAAAAGGGAGTAACTTCTCCCGTTTTCCCAACATTTCCCTTCACTACTTTGCTCCTAATATTTGTAGCGTGATGAAAAGTATCCTATAACCTGCCCAGGTGTATAAAAAATAATTGTACCAAGTTTTGTTAAAATCCGTCGAGTAGTTTTTGTTTCTATAAGGAACATACAGACAGCCAAAAATTTTACTGATTGTATTTTTCTCATCAGTATCGATCACTTATCACCCCCTGGTAGTTATTTTGAAAATATATTTAGTGTACAAAATTGACCCCTCTACAGATTTATTATAAGTATAGATTATTAAAGAATTAAGGAATGTTTGGTCATCATACTTAACAGTTTCTTTTCAAGACTACTTACCACAAGGTTTCGGGCGCAAGCGCAATACGGTACTACGGTCCTGGCCTGAAACATGAGAAGGAACGGAGTGGTTTAATCAATAGTTTGGGACTCCCTCTCGCCCTCTCAGAGCTAAACAAGTCATTTAGTAGGTAATCAAATTATCATCATTAGACTAATTCCGTCCATTCTTGGGCCTGAGCCTCCCTAATTGCAGGCCACTGAGCTCGATGTTCAGCTCTTCTCATCCAACTACTGCCAGCCATCCTGCGGATAACGTTAGTCCACCTAGCTGGAGGGCGCCCTACAATTGGTAATATTGTCACCTAAAAATAAAAAAGCCTGCTACCAATAACATTCATATGTCAGAGTATTAATACGTATTACATATGCCCCTTATCATACCTAGGCTTTTCTAGTCTTTAGTATTAGATAATATCTTCGCATTATAGAATGATTAAAAATAAAACAACGTCACATTAGATATGTGACTGCAGATTTGAAACATAACTTTGGAACAAATAAGAAGAATTTCGGGTAGTTTTGTTACAAAAAAATCGGCGTAACAGATGATTCTTTATTAACAAAAACTTATATAAAATAAATGTCTAAACGCGAAAGCGTACGTGATAACCAGTCTTTCATGTGTAAGCTACCATGAATTACAAAAACAATGTAATCATGTAAATCAACCACTAAACTAACTAATGTGACAATTTGATAACTTGCATCTTGCGTTTCAATGTGCTCGTACAGAACCTCGCAGGGACAACGGCGCGTACAATTTGTAAAATATTGGAATATCTTTAACATCAATGTTAACAAAGATTCAATTTGAGTAAGTTGAATGTGCACAAAGCTTTAAAACATAGTTATTCCACGAATCAATAATTTCTTTATGAATCCTTACAAAATAACGTATAATACACCAGAAGTGCGACTGCGCAACTTATAAAGCTACACAGTCCACAGTCAAACAACTAATTAATAAATAAGTAAGTATACATTACAAAATAAATGTACAATTAACTTATCCTAGTTACTAAAGACCGATTCGTATATTTAAATGTTTACGTACACAATATAAAAGTTGTTGTTAGTTTTCAACCATATTATACTTTTAAAAACAGGTAATAGTTTTATATTTATGTAACAGGTGAATTCATAAAGGGTTACAACACATATACGAATGAACATCATACCCCGAGCTTAGCTGAAAATATTTCACAACATTTACTTGGATTACTTAGCGCGACTTCAGACACATAATCGACATCTAATCAATCATAATAAAAAACAACTTTCATGATCTCATCATTTTACGTAACTTCACTTGGTCACGGGTTCGAAGCGATTCGAGCCTACCAGTTGACGTAGTAAGTTATTTTCCAAGGGGGCTGGCCACGGACCTGATATGGCCAGATAAAAGTTATTTTTATAAATATTGAGTAGACAAGTGACTTTTGGACTCTTTCAACTGTAGGTATACCTACATTATTTGTACTTTGATAATACATTTCAACATTACATTTAGGAAACTAAACATGTTTTTCTTCTACCTTTGCCAAACAAGTTTACATTCATATTTTATCATCAGCGTATAAGTGCCTACTGCTGAGCAAAAGCCTCTTCTCACATGGATGAGGTTTGGGCATTAATCACATATAATTATATAACATCAGTTGCCAAGTCAAAAAAATATGGATTCGGCATTTTGTAATTATATATTTCAGAACCCAGTTGGAAAATATAATATAATTACGCGGTTATTAACGCAAAAAGTAATTGTTTAAATACCTTGAAAGGCTTTATAACTTTCTCTACTCTCACGTTTACTTTGATCAAAGCCAGTCCAGATATATGAAAACCAATAACTGTTTTTATTTCTTAAAAACGGTTGTGGTTTGTTGTGTACATACAATTTCACATACATGTCACACCCAGACCCGGTACAACAATGTATGGATGACACAAAGAGTTGTTCCGTGCGGCAATCCAACCCGCGACACGTTGCGCGGCAGCCAGTTCCCCACCACACCAATCGTGCAGTCCAGTTGTGTTCTTTTGAAGAAAGTACCACAAAAAGTTGTATGGGCCTGTTCTGACGGAAAACTCGCATCAGAATCGTGCGGGAACACGATAGTAAAAAATATCACAAGTCTTTTACTTCAATTATGTTACGAATATGAAAACTTACGCGGTAGATAAAAATGATGATTCTCAAGCCTGGTTATCCCATAGGTAATGTTTTACATATTTATTACTTATCAATTCATCATCGATACAACGAGGCACCTATTACATAAAATATCATTGTTCGAGAAATTGCGAAGGCACGCCAAGTAATCCACTTATTATCTATCTGTCTACTAGCACTTAGTACAAATATATAATTTCTGTGACCTTTGTATTAATATCGACAAGTAAAGCGAAGACAATACATAGATAAGTTAGTCCCATTGCAATGAGGTACATTTTGGTAACTTAATTAAGGCCCTTACTAATAAATTAGTTGAGTTAATTGTTTAGAGTACTTAGTTTTAAGTAAAGATTAGCTATCGCACTCGCGAACGTAGCGTTCGGTACCTATTTGTGCATAGTGCACACCGTGTGATTAACGAGATCTCCATGTTATAATATCGGAAAATGTAAATTGTGACTTATTTGTAGACAACGGTGTCTTGTTGCGCGTAAACTTTATCCAAAATATTAAGTTTATTTTATCCTAAGATACGACGAGCTACAATTTAACTATTACATAACAACTTACCGAGCATACCGGTACATCAATAAATTATAACAAACGTGTAAGTATTTTCATGTTATTTGCTACTCGTAGTGCCACGCCACTGTGCTTACTACAACGAAATTACATGCAAATTATCTTTAAGTTAAGTTTTGTGATTAGGACGTTCTACGTTGCTTGAGCCGCTAATAAAACTATAGTACGCGTCCCCTGTTAACCTATCATAAGTCATACTCTATTACTGAAGTAAACTTTTTTCGATCACATTCAGTCGTAAATATTTATTTGGCCCCACGTTAGGTTCTTATCACGTGACTTGTTCTTTGTTTTGCTCTATCACAATTAGTATCGCGCTACGTGGCTAACGACATGAGCCTCCGGCGGCGCAGCTTGCGGCCGCAACGCTTCCAGGCGGCGGTGAGGCAGTACACGACGGCTATGATGGCCAGCAGCGTCAAGGCGCGGCTAGCCATACTTGGACTCTGGTGCTCCGCCCCACCATGAGCGCGCGATGGCGCAGCCCCAGCTCCACGCCAGGTACGCGGTGCAGGCTCCGTACCCTCTATATCCGGAGCACCTGTGAATTCAACTTGTGTCAACTCATATCTCTTACAATTTTAAAAGATACATAGTACAGTCACGTCTATTACACGTTTATTCAAAAGTAGCTTAACTCATGCAAAACAACACTTTACAAACAGTTCGTTGTGATGTGTCATGTGATACTAACGCCACATTGCTTGCAAGAAGGTCTAATTGAAAACGAATTTTCGTTCAATGTAATGTACAAACTACTATTGAATGGAAACAACTACCAATCTATACACTATAACTTTCCATAAAACTACGTGAAGGACTCTGACATTTTAGAAGTAATAACACCAAATAGAAAAAACTCTATATTTATGTAAGTAAATATGAAATGAACTCATTGCGATCTAGTAGGTACCTCGCAAGCATGATTTCGAAACCAATTACGCAACCCTTTTGTTCTATTTACATTCACACATGTTTTTATATTAGCGAACCAATCGCAACTCACCCTCCCCTCATGACCTTGGGCCGCGGAACAAGGTCAATGTGAACCCTCGTTGCGCGACCCTTTCCGTCAGACCCCTCATATTAGCGGTGCCGCTTTGTGAGTGTCCTTTCATTCTCCCTCGCAAATTACGAGACCACTGATAGTAGGTATATTTGTTTAATACAATCCAACCGGCCATCATCCTTTTATTATAACATGGGTACTTTTATCTCATGCCGCAGTAGTTTTTTATTGAAAATTACTCGACCGTTTTTACTCTTAATGACCGAAAAGCCAATATTTTATATACGCGCGAGGATAGGTACTCACATGAGTATATGCTTTGTATTTAATTGGGTGTGATTTTGATATACTTCAAAACAATCTGGTAGGTACTTACGTTAAAACATATGAAATCTACAGCATTTATTATAACACTAACTACCAGTCGCAATTGAGACCTTCATTCCATTAAAATTATTAAACTTTCTTATAATTTAAAAGTATGAAACATTTTCAGTTCTACTTTGACCGAAAATTCGTCGTCTTGTGACCTTTAAAACCTCCAGATACCAATAACACTTATACAAGTATACAAAAACGGAATTTGGAAAATTGACGAAAATCTTCTTCGGGATACTGATATCTTCACCATCTTATACAATACGTTAATTAATGCTGCCAATTGAGTCTTCGTATATGGAAGTAAGGCTTTGCCCAATGTGCCAAAACTGGCTCAACAAAAATCTATCAATGTAAAATAATTCTTATTTCTTTGATATAAGAATTTAAATGCAAGTTATGTTTTCTTTAATTCCATAAACGACGTAAATGTCGCTTGTATTCATTAGCTAGATACAAAACCGTGCGATAAACAATAACTTTTTTGTTTACATAAGTATTAATTTACATTGCTAAATTTAAACTTGCTGATTATTCATTAAAGTGGATTTAAACAAAGCGTGAAGTCTCAAACGGTTCTATAAACACATAATTTTATTGTGTTATAGTTTTTACCTTATTCCTGACAGGACTGTTACGTCAACAAAATATACAAAAATGTTAAATAAGTACAATTAAAATGTTTTTATTGCTATCACGCTTAAGGGAATGACGCGCTGTTCAGATACGCTATGCTTACGTAAGTACTTCCTAAATAGATAATGCAAAATAATAGCGTAGCGTTACAATAAGAAAAAAAAATTCTAAGGAGCAGGATTTTATTGATTTTATTAATTTATAAAAATGTATAACAATAACACTCTAAGGGCCTGTTTCACATCATTTGATTAGCCGCTGTAACCGCAATGGTTAAATTTGAATATGGAGCGTAATTTGTAGGAATTATGTATGTACTACTGCTACATAACTTATAGGAAGGTAGTGAAACAGGCGCCATACAATTGAAGTAACACAGATGTAGACTGATAATACGGTAGTTTCTGATTTGACATGAGCTACTGTCATTTTGTAAAATAATGATACCGCACATAACAGTGTAGTGATGAACACAAAAATCGATAGGTAAACAATCAGTGAATCAGTTTCAGGAAGGCATTCAAAAATTTACGGCTACCGAATGGTCTAAATACGTATCCCATGTTGTCAATGAAGAGGAAATAGTTAGTTAGCTAGATATGTTAATTGACAATAAATATCACAGACACAATTCATAATAAATGTTATATAAAGTACGAGCGATAGCGAAAGCGATGACGGCGACAATTTATAAAATGTCTGTTTTATTTGTCATGTTCCTTCATGATCATATTTTTTATTAATTTCACACACAATTACAAAAGAAAAGTCTCAGATCGTTAATTAATTGTCAAAACGAAATTATCGGTTCAGAAATATTTTATTTCCTGATAATCTTAGTTTACGAGAGTAAATACTGTTTAAACGAGAGGAATCGATTCAGAAATATTCGATTTCCATATCGAATAATTTCGCAACGTCACTATTTAGTACGTGTCATAACGTTGCAACACTGATATTGTCAAATCTGGAATGGAATTAAAATTTCGAGTATAGAGTAGTTTTATCCAAATGTCAAAAACGATACTTTACTATGAAAGTATGAAAAACTGAGGTATGACGTCATAGTATTTTTGCGTCAAATAGCTTACTTATTTCTTAATAATTAGCTACAAAATCTCTTAAACTTAGTGTATCGATCGATCGATGAATAAAAGTATAGATTAGAGAAGATTTTTCAATATTTTATTATATTGAAAAGTCGAATTAATTTATTTTTGACCTAGGAAACTACCCAATTCACACGAAATATAATTAGATTCCTGATTTGACAAAATCAGAGTTGCAAAGTTATGACAAGTACTAAATGGTGACGTTGCGAAATTATTCGATATGGAAATCGAATATTTCCGAATCGATTATTCTCGTTTATAAATTTACTCTCCTAAACTAAATTTATCAGGAAATTGAATATTACTGAACCGATAATTTAGTTTTGACAATTAATTAACGATCTGATACTTTTATAATTGTGTGTGAAATTATTAAAAAAATGTGATCTAATATGGTAATAATTTATTTTATAAATTGTCGCCGTTATCGCTATAGCTGTTACTTTCTAATAGTTTATCGATTTTTGTGTTCATCACTGCACTGTTTTATGTGGTAGGTATCATTATTTTACAAAATTACAGTGGTTAATGTCAAATCTGGAATTGAATTAATATTCTGACTATAGGACCTAGAGGCCAACAACAAATCCGTTAGATGTTTCTTATATTTATTTAGATACATATTTTATATGTTATTCTTATGTGCATACATGTTCTAATCTTACTTTCGGTGATTGTTAGCAAATCAATTCTTAATTAAATTGTTTTTTTTAGTTTCATTTTCACCTGTAGCGACATCTGTCGCACAACAATAACAACAGCACCAATCACGTGCAACATTCTACATCGCGGTATAAGAGTTCTCACAATTAGAACCTATACAAAAATCCCGACAAAAACCATCGGGCAGTAGCCCAACAGACACAACACCCATCTGGTCGGAGGATCCTCCATTTTTAATGGAGGATATCATACGTCTAAACACCAATGATAAGTGCTTTAAATTAATGTTTAAGGTAAGTTGCTTTTGTGTGGGACAAAAATAAATAAGATGTTAAAAAAAGGAGAAGACATGTTTTAAGAGTGTGAGAGCCATTTGCGACCGGAGTTATACCACAGCCTCACAAAACTCCTCAAGAAATTGATCGACGGCGGCGAATTGCCGCCTCGCGTCCGTACTTAGTCGAGGTCATGGTGCAATGGGAGAGGAACTGGGAAGTCGTCTCCTCTTTCGAGCGTGAGTAAAATATCCTCCTCACACCCCAGCCGCCGCAGTGGGAAATATTACGGGCGTCGGGGATCGCACGATGAACGCAAGGCTCGCCGCCCGCCAGACACGAGCTTGCGGCGTGTAGCGTTCAGCGCGCCTCCAAGATTCACACCACATTTGCGGCTAACAAGAAAACCGGCGCACTACGCTTGTGGGGTGTTGGTTTTGTCGATGGGCGACTCCAATTACTAACTAATCTTTTAAGGTACAAACTTGCTGTACATATATATATTTTATATTGTTTACAAGCACTGCTATTTGTTTGCAAGCTACTGGTAATAATTACCAGAAGAAATAAATACTAGCTGGTAGATAAAATAGAATAAGCTAGTCTAGCTTCGTTTAAAATAGTAATAAAAAAGGAATAACATTCATTTTACAGTAACAAAATATACATATGCCCACTATTATCTCATCTCATCACCTCATCAGTAGATTTATGAATAATGTATTTAATTTAATACATTATGTTATTCTCCTTACTCCCAAACTATACGTAAACAAAAAATAACAAATATGTGAAACTAAATTTAATAAAATAAATTTATTAGATATTTTTGTTTACAAACTCGTGGGCACTTATCATATTTTTTTAGCCATACATTAACGAGTTAAATAATACTAAAAAAATATATGTATGCCTGCTAGGTCGAGCGGCGGTATGCGAATTTGCAGGATAAGAAAAAGAGCATCGAAAGTTTCGTTTAGACTGAAATACTTAGTAGTAGTTCAGAGTCAAAAACGCAATCTGATAGGTAGTTTACGTTGTTACGTTAGTTTCCTATATTTATCTCAGTTTTATTAAGTGTATAAATAATGTCAGGGAGCCTCCTATATATTCGTATACATATGTACTGAAGTGAAAAATACAACAGTCAGTACACCCGAAAAATAGTTGATAATTTTGCCAATGACGTCACATTTCGGCTGTTGTTGTTCTAATTTCCTATTTTTATATACAACTTTTAATTCAACATTTTCTGGCATACAAAAGGTACAATTGTCGACAAATAACTTCTGAGGCATAATGTTAAGACGTAAAAAAATATTTGGGACTAATTTCATTTTATGCATACATAATTATATCTATAACCCTAATCTATAACTCTTGTGAGTTAGATAGGTAACACTTAGATAGGTATTGAAGCAAAGCTTTCATAATAATACATGAAATCAAATAAAAAGACGCACCTAGCAACTCAATTGGATTAGACAATTAATATACAGTTTATCAGATCACATTTTCAAAAACTAGGTGTTATGAGATGGAAAGGTAATTTAAACCAGATGGCTGGGATTTGAGTTATATGACTGCCGGTATAGGAGATCTCGCATGGATCCCAATTTTAGCACGCGACTTTTTGAGCGAGGTTATTATTTATCATATTCAAGAAAATCTAGAAATATAGGTACTTACCAATGCTTTTTGGATCAGTAGGTTGATGTCGCGGGGCTAGAGTACGGGCTGAGGGTGGAGCATGAATCGGATGGGGTCTCACTGGTGTAGGGGTCATACACTCCGGTACGGGCCGCGGTCCGCTGCCGTCGGGAGACAAAACCCTGGAGTATACGTGCAAGCGACCCCCTTCTGCTCGCTGTGGTAACTCTGTTAATACCATACTTTTATATAAGACAAGGAATCATTTCATATTGTCTGTCTAAATTATATTGATTGTATAAAACATCACAGCAATGACAACGAGATATTTAATTTATTATATATTTTATTAACCTAAACAATCGAATATTTAGTTTGGGAACAAAAAGTTCGATGAATGATCTCAAGAAATCTAGCTAGATTATTAGGCTTTAACTATATCGGAACGCTTCGTAAATGTTTCAATATTGGACATTGTCATCGTCAGCCTATAAGTGCCAAGGCCTCTTCTCACACGAAGAAGGTTTAAGCATTAATCAGGACGCTTGCTCAAGGCGGATTGGCGATTTCAAACTTGTAATTAAAAATTATAAGTCCAGGTTTTCTCACTATGTTTTCTTTCATCTACGACGGACGTACCTGAAGGTATAATATGTACATCTCGTAGTCGATGCTGGTGTGGTGTGGCTGCGTCCTTGAGGGAGGAGGGCAGGTGTCCGACGAGGGCGTACTGTAGCGCGGCGAGCAGTAACCAGTGGCAGTTGCGGGCAGCGCCGCCCTCCAAACACGAAGAGTCGCCATACACCACCAGGCGACCAGCCTATCCAAGCGCAAAGTTTAATGCTAATTTTTAATCTTCTTCGTAAACCATTATGCATTTTTGCCCGAATACATACATCTATACTTAAAAACTTTCACATTTATAATATTTATTGGTTGTATATATCGTTATTGGGTATTATAGGAATACTGACCTTAGGCAGCCTGTCGCTGGTATCGTTGGTGTAGTCCCTAGTTTCGCCGTCGGTCTGCAGTAGTCCTAATATCGGCACGTCGACCGTCTGCGCACCGGCCGACGCACCGCCTCCCCCGCCCGGCTTTTCACCAGACATTATCTGTGGACCACATAATGTATCATATCTTCTTTCTTTTTCTCTTTACTTTATTTCCAAGTGGTACTACAGTACTCCATAATTTTGATATCGGCAAAATAAGCGGAAACAAGCAATACATTTATGTTTTTATTTTATAAAACTTTACCCCACACTAGGATTTTCTCCTGTCTCGTGGGTGAGTTAACAAATTATATAAGACAATGACTCTCAGACCCGGAACAACAATTTCAGGTCGCACAAAGAATTGTTCCGCGCGGGAATAAAACCCACGACATGTTGAACGACAGCCAGTTACCTAGCCACTGCGTCAACTATGCAGGATCAAAACTGTGCAAGACTTATATTGCTTCCATATTAGCTTGCTACTCATAAACTAAAGAGAAGAATGGTGCAGTTTTGTAGATTTAACGCATTACAGTTGACACAAAGCGTTACACAAATCTCGCCAGAGAACCACATTATTTCAAACGTATAATGCTTTGTGATCTGTGATTATGTCAAAACACATACATGGTAAATATAATATAATAAATTAATATAATGTAGGTTTATTTTGCTTCCTGCGATAACTACTTTAGGATTGGGCCAAGAACGACTTACTTGATGGCCCTGGTCGCTGAGAGGGGCAGTTATCAGGATTCCATGTTCCGGAAAGCTGTGGATATGAGTTCCACTCGCGTAGTACATTGGATGGCCGCCCAATCTGAATGCTCCTTCAAAAACGCGATCACCCAGTGCTACCTGTACAAAATGAGGGGAAATTTACATATACTAATAAATTACATGTATACTAGTAAAATTTATCTATAAGATTTCATTCTTTAATATTTTATATTTATTTAAAGTAAATACTATTATTTAAAGGCGTAATGTATGCAGATACATTATGCCTTTAACTCATAAGAAATGAAAATATCTTCTAGGCTAAGAAGTTTACTTTTGCATGTAATTTAGTTACAGTCAAACACCAAGTGGGTACAGAACATAAGCCAATTTCTTTTAATATATGTTTTCTTTTATCGTCTTATATCTTTTTTATATTGAACAAATAAGTTTAATCAAATTGTTGTGGTCATAAAACTCACAAATAACAACAATGAACTTACTTGATACATGCTAAGTAAATCGTTCAATGCGGGCACGTTGGCACCGCCTGTTTCAGGTATCCACCTGTAACATGAAGATACATTGTATAAAATTAAATTACTTACATACAAATGCAGTGCTCATGATAATGGTCTTGAAAAACGATACAGAGTTGGTTAAAATAACAAACATAAACATTAAACGCATAATGTTTGTCAATATCATCATCCTCGTTATCAGCCTAGAAGTGCCAATATCACTGCTGACTGTCTCTTCAGACACAAAGAGCATTAATCAGCACTCTTGCTCAAGGCGGATTGGCGATATCAAACTTATTAATTAGAAATTATAATTCACAGTGGAGTCAATAATCTTAAGTAAATACCGCTTAAAAAATCACATTTGTACTAGACAGGTTTCGTACCCGCACCTCCATGCACGAGAAGCGGGCGCATTAACCTTCGGGCTAGTACGACTGTACAAGCAAATCTATACTAATATTATAAACCTGAAAAGTTTGTTTATTTGATCGCGCTAATCTCCGGGACTGCTAGTTTGAAATGAACATTTATTTTTGTGTTTATTGGCTATAAAACATCACGCTAGAATCTGTAGCAGCGGGAGTAGCCAGTATCGTATAAGCAAAGCTTAACTTACCATTGTCGAGTATTTTCGTCGTAAAACTTAACGTGGCGCAGTAACGAAGCGTTGTACCAGTCAGCAAATACTACGAGGGACATGCCGGAGTCAACGGCTTTCTTCAGCGCAGCCATTTCTTCCGGGAAGTACTCGTCTTCCGGGTCCACTAGCAGCAACGCTCCGTACAACGATGTGTCAATGCAGGTTAAGGGACATCCTGAGTAGGTATTAAGTAAATTGGTTTAATGTCCCCATTTCATTTCTATCTGGAGAACAGATCGTATTTAATTACAAAAACCTGATTTAATCTGAATTTTATTGATTTAATGTTCTACGTTTATTTTTTGTATACTTTCCCATTCAATATAATAATATACGTGCAAAAATTAGGTATTTTAAAACTTTTCGATATTTTAATTTACCTTTAAAAATGTTGTATACGTTTAGCAACACACTTGTAATGTTTCACATTAGAGATGATATTACAGTCTAAAATTAGGAAGTTTTTTACCTAATAAGTATTTGACAGACATTTCTGAACTTTCTTATAAAATACATAGAAATATATCGTTTTTGACATTTCAGAAAAAGTTGTGTATTTTACTAGTGGGTACGATGACAATCATATCCATTTGTACTTCGACATGAGACTTATTTTATCAGGCCGTACCATAAACTATGTTGTAGGCGGTTTTATTATAAAACTAGCTTCCGGCCGCATGGTTTGTTGATAAAAAGCCTATGTCCGATCCCGGACTGTATGTTATGCCTGTGCCAAAATTTCATTCAGATCCATCCAGCCGATTTGGCGTGATTGAGTAATAAAAGTCCAAACATTGTAAGTTACTTATTTATAATATTAGTAAGAGTAGGAAGTACGATAAAAAAGGCAGTTACCCATAACTTCCAAATAGAAGCCGTGTTCTCGAAGGCGGCGGTACATGTCGCGGAAGTTAGTGTGGACATGGTCGGCGTGCCAATCGAGCGGGTCGTGCTTAGCGCGAAGGTCGTCGCGTGGGAAGTAGCCGCCCGGGTAGCGCAGACTGTGGAACTGGTCCCACAGGAGGCGACGCGAACGCACCGGGACTGGGATAACGCGAGCTCTGACAATGCATTCACATATGAAAACAATTATAATAAATTACTTTATGAAAACAATTATAATAAATTACTTTATGAAAACAATTATAATAAATTACAATATACAACAGTATTCATCAGAACTGGGTACAAAGGCAGCCTTATTGCTAAAAGCGATCTCTACCAGGCAACCTTTTAACAATATATCAGCAAGGCCCCAAGGTATCAACATGCCTCAACATATAAGGGTACCTCTATGAAGGTATATAGGGTAAACATTATTGAAGAAAGCTGCAGCCCAGTCTCTGTAAACTAGTGACTTAGCGTTATCCGCAAAAAGAGTATGGCTGGCCACCAATGTATTCTACTCTGCCGTCACGCTAAAACAATGCACAAACACAAACAATAGAAGATTTGATGTTGAGATGATTTCGTAAGCTCTATCAAGAGGTAGTAAGATTAACTCACGAACTAAGGTTTGCGGACGGGTCAAAGTGCGATTGATATACTTATTCGGTTTTCGAAGACTCGTAGTTCTGGTAAGGTAAGCTACATACGGAGCAAATTCAAAAATTGGCGGTAGCTCTGCGCACAAGTCCATTGACGTCCAGCGAATCACGATAGAAGAAACAAATATGAAATGTAATTTTAAAGATTTTTTACATATAATTCTGTTTGCTGCTAACACTATCTGTACCGAATTGTCACGTGTCCTTTAATAACAATATTTTCTCTTTGTACTTGCTCCATGTTCCTACCTCAATATCGCATAAAAGGGACTATGATTAAAAAAAAATATTAATGTATATGTTGCATCTACATTGAGCACTGCTGCTTATCTCTTCCGGGCCTAGAAGCATATTATTATTAAGAAAAGATTTTCTCCGATTCTCCATCAGCACAGCTCAAATCATTGGAACTACAAATACATAAAATCAAATCTGAGTATATTATTCATATAATAAGTGTAAACTTGTATTTACCGTATAGGAAGTGTAAGCGTAGCATTCCTCATAATTTTCTCTCCGGAGTCATCGTCGCTTTCGACCGTGATGTTCATGTGACCCTGTAGTTATCCAATAATAATATTCTCAATTACAACACGCTTGAAAACTTCGCGGTCCGTTAAACTATTGATATACTACATGATTCGTGTAACCAGCTGTTTTAATATTTATTCAAATAATATTTTATTAATAAATATTTTACTGCCTCTCATCTGAGATCAGTTTTTCCAACTGTATTCATATCATAAGTAAACAGACAATAAGGCTATGAGTGTAACTCACTCAACGTACGAGAACCGGGCGATACCCATACTCCAGACACACTATTGTGGTACAATTAAAATGAATACGCTGACTTACCTCAATAATCCCATCGAAATCGGCGCCTTCTTCAATTACGCTGAAGCTCAGTGCTAGCCAACCAGACCAAGGCCAGAGGATGGGACTGTACTCAGCTGATACTGACAGAAGCACGCCGTTTGGCAGGTGCGGGTGCCACGACACGTCTTTCTATGAATAATAGATATTTTTAACAAGAATACGTACACAATATATAAAAATAAAAAGCAAATGACTACAAGTAATATCGGTTGTATTAATAAGTAACTTTCTTTTGTCTCCTTTTTGTAAATCACAAATAATCCCTTCCTTCACATACACATAAGCCTTCAATTTGAATTTGTTTTTGTGTGTTTTGTTGTGTAATTGCTGAAAAAGAAAAAGTTGACGCCGCTGACACACTGAACCTACAATATAATTCAAGATCGCTGTAGCGATAAGTGTGTAAGATAACGACAAGGATGTAAAATGTTAGTCTGCATTGCATAGTTTATTTTTTGTTTTTATTAAAAGCAAATGCAAATGAGAGAAGATAGTCTATTTTGTCGTTGTCAAATCTCGAGGATTCTTTATTTTCATTTTTAACCTTTCAATCGTGGTTGGATACACAATAGGGGTTTGATGAATCAATTTACATAAAAATGGAATCATCCACCTGTGTAAGCAGCCACACGGGTGTAATTGTTGGGGTCGGGTCGGGGTCGGGTGTAATTTGGGAACTGGAATCGGGACTTCTTGTTTTGCTAAGGCGCTAACAAGAGTTGTTTATAATATACGTACTACTCTCCCCGAAACTCCCAATCCATTGATGACGGTGACATTGGCTATGGTGGGCTGCGCGCTGTAATACAAAGGCTGGGTGCAGTACGGCCACATGTATTGACACTCCGTGAGGTCGATGTAGCTTGGACTCAACGAAGCTTGAGGCTCGTATTTGCGGAGAAACTGTAATCGTGAAGATGAAAATTTTACCTTCGATACCTATATTTAAGTTGTAATAATAAATATTTCCCATTTCATGATGCTTATTCGGTACACTTTACTCTAACAATGGTCTATCTATTTATGTAATGAGCTAGTTCGTTCCATAATTAGAGACAACGGTTTAACATTCGAGTGTAGCAAGTTTTTTTTCATTTCATAAACTTTGAAGTCCCGCAACCGGTATGCACTGAAAGACCGAAAATCATTTGTAAAACTATTAACTATTAGCATTGATATAATTATTTTTTTAAAAACTATGGTCAGCTTTGGCATTTTCTCACAGTAATTTGACAGATGGAATGCCAAACATAATTTAAGCCAGATACACGTTGGTATTAGTTTCCATAATTATAATAATAATGTTTTCCGTTGTCCCTCTGTTGCTAATACAAGCAACCATTCCCGCGTGCTTGGTCGGTGAATTGGCGAGTCTTTACCTCCCATTTTTACGTGTATTTATTACATTGTTCCGGCGGGTGCCAGTCCTTCCATAGTTTCCATCATACTAGTATCCATTGCAACCCACACCCAGTGTTACACTAACCGGGGACCGTCCTTGGGTGCATTTTCATAGTGCTTTACAGGGATATTCGCCGGTTTGTGTCCCATTTCATTTAAACTGCGAATCGGTTATGCTCTCAAAGGAGGAGGCGGAGCGCGCGAGGGAACTATCCTCCTTGCGCCCCAGCCGCCGCGGAAGGCGACATTCCAGGCATCGGGGATCGAGGGATGATCTCCAGCCACCGTAAGCGCGGGTCTGCGGCCGGCGAGTAAGGGTAGCTCGCCGCCCGACCAGAACCAGACCCGAGCGTACGGCGCGTAGCGTTCCGCGCGCGCCTCGAGGAGCCAATAGACCATCGCACCCCGTCTGCGGTGAGCCTGCTGCCTGCTGCTGCATCCCATTGAGCTGACGTTCGGCCAGGGTTGCGGGGTAAGCGCAATGAGGCACCGCGACCTCGGCCTAGAGCAGGAGTAGGAACAGGGGGGGTTTTTAGCCAGTAAGAGTCTGACATCCCCTCCCGCCAGACCCGGGGCGGGAGAAGTCATTTGATGATTTTCCCCTCACAAAAAAAAAAGACAACTAAACCTAAAGTTTTAGGCCATCTATTCTAATATTATAAATAAGTAAAATTTGTAAGTTTGTATGTAGGAGGTAATCTTTAGAACCGCTGGTCGGATTGCCAAAATTCTTTCACTGATAGATAGCTAAAATGTTCCTTAAAAATAAAACACGGAATAAATTACAGCCTTTTTTTATCTCGATTAAGACGCGATTCCGATAAATCATTTTATTCCAACTTTTCTGATTCAGAAGAGTCTGAGTAGAATGATTCATCGAAATCGCTACCAACTTCTATATTAAAACTTTCTATGACATTTCACTTATATGACCTAAACGGCACGCATCTCATCTTCCAGTTTAATGGAGTGCGAGATATAATCACGCTAACACTGAGGGGTCACTTAACGAAGTCTTTCATGAATAAATGACTTCGTGCATATTTAAAGTTTTATTATTTTAAGCTACGTGCCCCTTTACCGGTGCCCACACTAACTATCGCGTTAAGCTCACAATGGTAAGGTGGCAACCGTACAATAGTAACCCCCTTTTAACAGCCATCTCATTTGACTGCACGCTTGGTGCGGTGGCTGGGCAACTGGCTGCCGTGCAACGTGTCGCGGGTTCCCTTTCAACCTCTCTTCACATTGCTCCAAGTTCATTTCTTTGTGATAATCTTCAAATCCTTTTTTGGCTTCAAATATAAATAACTAGGTACAAGGGTCGAGGTACTACCAACTTAAAAAAAAATCGGCAAAGAATTGAAGACCACATGGTCGACACCTGATTCGATGACACACTCAACTGGCGTGTTGACACACGCCAGTTGACACCATGCTGATTGGCTACAGACTGCGAATGAAAACGCGTGTTGTCGCGGCTACATTCATTGTGTGGTTCCAGCATAAGAATTTCAAATTGAAATGAAACAAACTTTTATTTTTCGCATTTTTATATTAAATGCGAAAAATAAAAGTTAATTCGACTTAACTATAAAAACATCACCACAACGTTGTTTTATCTTGCACATGGTAATCAATTATAAAAACGGCATCGGTATTTTAAAACATCGTACTCGGGCCCATCACTATCCCATCGTTAAAATATGGTCACATTGTAGTTGTCAAATTGTTGGCTCTAATTATGGAACGAACTATAAATGTTAGTTGTATAATGTTAGATCTACGTAAAAATGTTTACAATTTTAAATAAATGTAATGTTGAATAACTGTAATTCTCAATCTATTAAAATTGAAAATTACAGTTATTACAATATATAAAAATAATCTTTGCATTTTATACGACCTCATTAATATAAAAAGACATACCAAGATTGATAAGCTTTATTTAACCACCTAAACCGATAGACCATAGTCAGTAACGGCACTTAAGCCCAAAAATTAATTAAGGTGCAAAATTTGCTCCTCGGTAAATGTATGTAGGTACCTGATAAGCGCTAATAAGGTCCAGTTTGCCATGTCCCTGTTCGAACATGTTGGGTCCGGGCAGTCGCAGCGCCGTCATACACAAAGCTTGCTTCACTGCAGCGGGCGTCAAATTATGACGCGGTACGCCACTTGCCAACAACGCTATGGCACCGGCAACGACGGGCGATGCTACTGACGTACCTTATGCAATAAAAACATTATTAGAAGAAAGTATGCAGACATTTTTATATAGCACATATTATCTGTTATATAACTCAATAAGGCCGCGACCTTATATTTGTTATTGTAAGGATGACGGCAACAATTCTATTCCTTCGATAACATCTATCTGACTTTTAAAAAAATCAGCCCTAAGTACCTGCCAACAAACTGAAATCAAAACATGTAACTTTATACTAAATGTATCTACAAACGACACAATAAATGATTACGCGTCCCGCCATGTCAAGATAAAAAGTAGTTAAGTTTACTACCAGGTGAACGACCTGTCACACAGATTGAAGACGCGTTGATATTTAACTAGCAATTGAAATAAATTATATGGTGATCTATTCATGACGCTGATGAATTTACTAGCTACGATTTGATTAAATTAATATAGTGTAAGAGTAATAGGAACATAATTTTAATATGCTACGAAATTAGGTAATGCATTTATAAGGGATATTAAATGAAACACAAAAAGTAATTCAACTACCAAAAAAACAGATAGCATTTATTTCCGGGCGATCGTGCGGTAAAGATTTTTTTTCAACTAATAAAATTTCGAGATAAAAATGAAAAGTTTTTGACAAAAAAAATTTGAAGCCACGTAAGTTAATTGTGGCGTAATATTTTTATGTATGTTTCATACAAAAATTATTTAAAATTTAAAATATCAATATTTCGGAAGTAGTATTGAATTTTAAAAAGTATTTGGAAACTACGAGTGATAACAAAATGTCTCTATCTCAAAGGATTTATTTATACACATTAGGTATATAGGTACTAAAGCGAGAAATAGTAATTTCCGAATTCTTTAGTAAAATTTAGTGATGTTGTAACATAGCACACGACATGTTTCATAAGCGAGTAAAAAGAAAAAAATTGTGTATATGATTGAGTGACATGTAAAAGTATTCTTATAGATTTCATGTCATCGAAACCGCAAAACAGTTATTTTATTTTGTTATTTAGGTGTAGGTATATACTCACCACTAAGTGACCGGCAACCTCCATTTACACTCGAGCCCCTGACGCCGCTACCGTAAGTTACGATGTCAGGCTTCATACGACCATAGCCCTAAAACATATGGTAGACCTATAATAGCGCATAGGAAGGTATAGTAGGTATACATATGTATGTCGGGTGACTGGTAATTAGTGACCGATATTTAAACACATGATTTGAACAACTCTGTCTAGGAAACTTTTTACTATAATCCTTAATTTTATTACTACTTACTTATAAGAGATTTCGTAAACAATGCCCTTATATTAAACGTTGCGTAAACGTCCGTGACTGTACCTACATGAATAAGGTTGGTACCTACTTATATCACAATTATTGGTAATGCCTTCTCATTCAGGATAAGTACATCAGTCGGTCAATAGCCAATAGCCAATCAGACGCATTTTACATGAACAATGTGCCACATAAATTTATTGGGGTTTTTATGACGTTGGTGAAATAGGCGCACAAATTAAATATGTACTTCTTAGTATGTGGTCTACCTTAATATAACTTTTTTGGGAGTCCTTGATTTCGCGAAACGGATACACCTGCGCATATAGATTGCACGATAATGTGAATTCACTAAAGTTACCACCCATCGGTGTTATGCCATTATAAATTATCAAATCTGATTAAATACCTATTTACTTTCTTTATCAGTAAATAGTGTATAATTTTAAACTTGATAATTGGGTTGAATAATAAAAATGTTTGTGAGTGTTCGTAGATCCAATTGCCCAGAAGGGTGTCGCTGATTCAGCTATCAAAAAAATATTTGTAATCTTACGTGTGGCAGTTCCCATGTGGTCATGCCTCTGGACGAAAACTTTGCAATCCTGTCATCGAACCCGATGCCTCCTACGCCAATGACATCCATTTGGTCTGCCGGATTGTTGAGAGTGCCATACAACGGACCGTCGTTACCTATTGCAGACACCATGATTACCTAAAACAGATTTGTTAATAAATCAACATACTATCGAACGGTAGTAAAATACCCTACCGTACCTACGATCATTTAATACCGCTTTGACAATTGTTTCGAAACAACATCTATACCAAGTAAGTTTAAGTAATTACCAATTAGTAGGTGTTTTGGTTGCTCCTATGCAAATTAGTATTTTGAATGTGCCCATATGTTACTTTCTACTTCACAGTGTGAAACAAACTGTTAGGTAGAAAGCAATATAGGAATGTACGTTTAATGTCATTGTCATCACCGCCGTCAGCAGCCTATAAGTGCCCACTAATGAGCAAAGGTTTCCAACACGGGAAGGTTTCGATCATTTCCTAACTTTAGATGGCCATTGTCTTCCTTTCATAGGTCTGTAGGTATACAAATCTCCCAGTTATCCCTTGCACACAGCACCTTAGAATGACTTAAACAAAGTATGCAATACCACGATTTCAAATGAAAGGAAAATCATCAAATGGCTGTTTTGCCCTCGGTTCGGATAAACGTTAACACATCTGGGATCCCCAGAGAGTTTAAACAAAGACTGAGTTTTACAAACAGAGCATAAGATAAGGCCGCACTGTTAATAACTAACTTACCATATGATATATGGTTTATGCATAATACTCTGACAACTTAAAAAAATATTTACAATATAATAAATAACCTTTTTATGCCCAATCTAAGAGCTCATGTGCGATGCGCTAGGTAACCAGTTCTTTTTATTATCAAATTTATAAAATACCTGTTTCAATTCTGTGTAATGTATCTATGCTGCGGTAGCTAAGATCTGCAGTAAATCCGTGATCGTAAAAACATTTTACGAGTTTGATTTCCGCATATGATAATACATGGCCGGATTTGTTTCGTCGGGGCGAGGATCCTCTGCCGCGCCAAATTAGTGCGTGGCGGAATGATAAAGTGGAAGCAACGACGGTTGCAACCGAGGGCCGGGCACGCTGTTATACGAGAAGCAGCGGTAAGTAAGACCCCTCTTTGAGGAGTAGCTTGAGAGACGCCACGGCTTCCTCACCTTCCGCCTGACGCAGGTGCTTACCGGGCACAGCAGCTTCGGTAGGTTCCTGTTTCGGATCCAGCGGGAGGAAACGCCCGAGTGTCGTCATTGTGAGGACCACCTAGAGGACAAGGTGGAGCATACGGTGGCGGTGTGCCCTGCTTGGGCTGAGCGCCGCCGAGTCCTCGAGGAAGTGATCGGCGGCGGCGACCTCTCGCGCTGGGCCTTAGTCGAGGTCATGGTTCGTAGCGAGAGAAACTGGGAAGCCGTCTCCTCTTTCTGCATAGCAGTGATGCTCGCAGGGAGGAGGCGGAGCGAGTGAGGGACCTATCCTTCTCGCGCCCTAGTCACCGCAGTAGGCGATATTCCGGGCGTCGGGGATCGAGAGATGACCTCCAGCCACGGTAAGCGCGGGTTGGAGGCCGGCGAGTAAGGGTAGGTCGCCGCCCGACCAGAACTAGATCCGAGCGTACGGCGCGCAGCGTTCCGCGCGCACCTCAAAGAGCCCATAGACCACCACAGACGGGGCTCTACAGGGCTGATGTTTAGCCGGGGTTGCGGGTTAAGCGCAATGATGCACCGCGGCCTCGGCTCAGAGCAGGAGAAGGAACGGGGATTTTTAGCCAGTATGAGTCTGACACTCTCTCTCGCCTAACCCTGGGCGGGAGAAGTCATTTGATATTTTCCCCTAACAAAAAAGGGCTAGATTTGCTGACTATGGCGATTTTTTAAACATTGGTAATACAAAGACATTGTATCGCCTCTTTCCTTTGTCGTTTCACATCTTTACTTATTTAACTTATTTTCAAGTAAGTAGTAAGGTTATCGTTATATTTTTTATTAAAATTATATAACGGACACATTATTTGATAAGGCCAGCCGGGGATCTCATTAAAACTTTAATAGAACTAAAACAAACAAACTTTTGCGATGTGAATGTGTTACATGTTACAGTGAAGTGTGGGTAGATTTCTAAGCCAGCCACAACACCATCAGCCTGTATAGGTGTGTATCATGTTAAGTGCCTACTGCTAAATGAAGACTTTTTCTCATCTCACATTGAGAAGAAATGTGTATAAATCACCACGGCTGCTTAAGGCGGATTGATGATTTCAAACTTACAGGTAACTAGCTACTCTCGCGCTCGTTTCATCATATTTTGTTCCAACATAACTATATGTGATATTGTAAATTGCGCAAAACTTGGTATTTTGTCAGTGACTTTTATATCAGTGATTCTGTTATTTGTTCTTACCTTATTCGCACTAAGCTCCCAAACTTTATCAACAAACGGATGATCCATGAAGTCTGGTCCGCCAATGCTCAGGTTAAGCACATCAATTTTACGCATAATTGCGTAGTTAAAAGCGTCCAGAAACCACGATGTGTACGATACCTGCGTGGACAAAGCAGTTGGTACAATAGGGCTGTAATAAGTTAATTTGCTGAAAATCATCAATAAAACATGTATTGGTGTTACAGAGATCAGAAAGGTTGTTAGGACAGTTTTTTACAGACACTGCAGCATCTAATTGACTGAGTTCCGATGCCTACCCGACACAGGTCCTTTACATATGTTACATCACACTTAGGAAACAGCATAACCTATCTATATTCATACTATTATATCCAACTGACATTATCTCATCATCAGCCTATAAGTGACCACTGCTGAGAAGGTTTGAGCATTAATCACCACGCCTGCTCAAGGTGGATTAGCGATTTCAAACTTATAATTAGAAATTATAAGTTCAGGTTTCCTCACGACATTATCTACAAGTGAGGAATATCGTGAAGTCAAGGACGGATGATACTCAATCACTCCAGTCTATTGAACTTATCTTGAAAAACACATACGCTACAAGTCTTCACGACTTAACGAAAGTAGGCTTCTTTATATATGTACTTTGCCCTTTGTTGATTTTAGTTAAGCACAGTGGTACAAGCAGGTAAATAACGAATGCAACTTTTATCAAAGAAGTAATTTAGCAGATGTTTTTTTACAAAGCCTTTGACTTAAAAACGAGCAGATAGTTCATAATGTCTTCATTATCTTATCTATAGACTTTAATTAAAATGTAATGATACCACATTATCTCTTCCGGTAAAAATATAATAAAATTTTTGCCATTTAATGTATACCTAGATAACATTGTTCTCTTTAACTATAAAATGACTTTATATAGATACATTCTTGAAACAATAAATCATAATGCATACTTGGGGATATTAATAATTGAATCACGTAATATGATTCAGAAAAGACATTCCCTAATACAAACGCACATACTACAAACGAAACAAAACAAAAGCATGTTTAATATGAATTACATCTTCTTATTTGGCATATTTTTTCACAACATACCTGATTGTCAGTGAAGACGCGGAAAATATGTAAATCTGCATCAGGTGCAAAGCCAAGACATTCGGCTCGGGATGCGATTACGCCAGCCACGAAAGTCCCATGACCTAGAGCATCGTCTAATGTGTTTTCGCCGGTCCAATCGGTACGTTCACGGACACGCCCAAAATGTGGGTGATTTCGAGCTAACCCCGTGTCGAATACTGCAACCCTTATACCCTCACCTGTCGGAACGATAAACCCTGTTATTTTTTAAGATATGCCGCCGAAATGATTGTATTTGATATGATAAACGTGTGCCTCCAGAGGATAAGTTGTCTCATATAACGACTTAATTTCCTTTAAAAATCCAAGCGACAAAAGCTGAACTAGATAAGTATTACACACCAGTTACACCAAGGGACCAAAGCAAATCAGCTTTCAAAACCGATGTTATTTGCCGAGGGACAGTCCGCAACAACTTCCTGGACGTGTAACCACCATTCTGTAAATAAAATTAGGATTCTATTAAACAGATGTGTTACTTATCGTGTATTTAAAAGCTGTCACAGATTGTTTAAACTGAGGAAACATCCAAATTGACAATAGTAAGTATCTAAAACATTTAATCACCTCACGCGGCTGCCTTAGGGATTTCGGTCCTCGCACTCGATGATTACGCCATCCCGCATATAAACATCCAGCTGGTCCACAATCATCCTAAATTACAATGATAGTTTAAACAAGCATTGATGAGTACACACTCACTCACAGAAACACAAATCACAATAGTACAAAAGATTTAATTCAATTGTTTGTCACATGCAGTAGATATCAATACCTATTTCAAAAACATTTTGCCTGATCTCATCTCATGGCATAACAAGAATTGCTTACTTAGGCGCGTAGTGATAGAATACATTTACCTCACGAATGTATTTAATAGTACGTGTGACTTGCCGCTGCGCGGTAACACGGCGGATGGCTGGATGGTCTTTCAGTGCATCAAGTGCACGTCTTCCTTCATCTTCCAGGATAATTACATCAAAGTCACTTGGATATTCTTTGGCTGGGTTATCCCGTTGCAAGAGCGTCCAATTCGATATCTGAAAAAAAAATTGCTGTTTTTATAAATATTTTTAAATAAACTACACAATTTCTTAAATTTTAATAATCATTCAACTTATTATGACCAATAATTGATTTATTTCTTTTTCCTAACATAGTGTCTATGTGCATGTCACAGTCAATGCTCATAAGTAGGTACTAACTAGCTGACTAGCTGACCCGGGGAACTTCGTACCGCCTAGCTTTGATGCACTACTTTGCAGTCAAACTGCATAGAGCATCATTAAGTAACATAAAATCATGTTTATTCACCAAATAAATCGTACAATTCTAAATTAATAGCAAAAATTAATAATATAAAAATTGGTATTTTTACTTTTGACTACTTCATTGATGAACACAATATAACAATAAAGATAGCGAGCCCTTCATTTAATTATAGTCGTAACTCAATCTAAGAACAGATAATCACTATGCAACTACACAAAAAATATAGCTGAAGATAATGACTTCTTCATGAAATATATGATAAAAGCACTACTATACTATGAATTTAAATTCAATTTGATTCCAGATTTGACAATTTCAGTGTTGCAACATTATGACAAGTACTAAAATAGAAAATAATTCAATATGGAAATGGAATATTTCCGGATCAATTCCTTTCGTTTATAATATTACTCTTGTTGACTGTTAGAGAATGCCTGAAGACATAAGTCCACCTTTCAGACTGTTTTGTGTGAAGGAAAAATAAATAAAACAACTAAATATACCAGGAAATTAAATAATTCTGAACCTATAATTTAGTTTTGACTATTAATTCACGATCTGAGACTATTTTTATATATTTGTGTGACATAAATAAAAAAGTGATCATGAAGGAACATGACAAATAAAACTGATAGATGTATTATGGTAATAAATAATTTATAAATTGTCGCCGTCATCGCTATCACTATATCTGTCACTTTCTCTAACAATTATTATTAAAGTGTCAGTGATATTGTCAATTAACATATCTAGGCATACTTACTACTTCTACTTTTTCCGATTCTATGACAACAAATAAATGTCTCTCAAATTAATTAATAATTTTCTTTGAAAACTAGATAGAATAGAACAGTAATTACTAATTAATAAATAAATAATTTTATTTATTTATTTATGGTCTACCAACCTATTGTTACAATAATGTCTGTAAGTATCACTACACAACCAATTATAGGCAAACACCGCATGCGTTGCATATTTGCCTTTACAAAGGGAGAGAATAGATATAAGTAAATCTTAAAACGAAATTATTATGATTAATTATGTTCTTATTTAAATAAAAATCTAGACTTGCCTTCAAGAAACAACACATAATAAGTCTGCTTATACTGTATAGTTTTTTTTACTAGCTAAACTCACTAGCTACACTTACTGCACTGCTGCTACAAATCATATTATGATGTTTTATAGCTTATGTATGTATAGCCTTCATCAACAAATGTACTAACAATACAAAAAAAAATTTTAAAAAAGAAACCTGCAGTTACCAAGATTAACATGTCCAAACAAAGAGACTCTTTACTTATAAATATGGCTCAAAGCTTATATAATGAATTTAATTAATTAATGGTGATTTGTAGTTCAACCCATGATAATCTACAAGGTATATAGTAAAAGATTGCTTTAAAAGCTTTGGAATTTTAAAACTGTTAGAATTTTAACAAATCAATCTTATTATGCTACACTCGCATGTATGTAAAGAATTAAAACATTTTTAAACTTTTTACAAATAATGATCACTCACCCCTGCATTCCTCAAAGCCGCAGTTACATAATTTTCCCTTGTTGATCGCGGAAAATAACCCTTGTATGTTATTATATGTTCACTATTCACAACATCTGAATTAAACTCGTAATTAACACGCTGTGATATTGAAGAGTTACACACAGTATCAACATTGACACCTAACCCATCTCCAAACACTAGAGATAATAATTGGAGACCGGTTAAAAATATAAAAAGCTTCTTGCGGGTCAACCCCATTTCTGACGCATATTACAGCTATCATTCAACTGCATTATTTACTCAAATTAATCACACGTCGGCCTGTTATGTTTAATGACCTAAGTAACATAATATGTGCATTTTTAAGCATCTCAATTAAGTTACTGTGTTTACATGTCCACGACTATTACATCGACTAAAAGAACAAACTATCAAAACAGAATATCCTTTTAATCCTTTACAGTCCACTACGCTGAACTGGAACTCGAAAGTTGAAAGCAAAAACGGACGAGTGACGACAAGAAAAGCTAAGAAAAAATAAATATCAATCAGTCAGTCAGCTATGTCAACTTGTCATCTGTGCAACTGTCAGTTTATTGACACTTTATTTTCTTCTATAGCAACTTTAGACAATAGAAAAATATTTAATTCCTCTAGATATCCACCTATTTTTTAATTTTGTAGCGTTGAATCTATGTTTTTCATTAAACGTGAAAAAAATATATTATTTTTCGTCCTCCAAATCCAATTCAAACGTAGCTGTGCAAAGTACTTATCCTAATCTGTTACATTGTCTAAAAATGTGATTTTTCAAAAAGACGAGCTCCACGTACTGACGTGCAGTGTAGTGTTTCACTTTGCGCGTGCCACTTTCATAGCGAATGGTAACCTTTGTGCACATATCCGTTAATTAGAAAATGACAACAAATTAATTGATTGTTTTCCTGTTCACTTCAAAGCTGGACTCTGTATTCAGTTCATTAAGTGAATTAGGATAGGTACTGTTGTATTCAATGGAAATAAAATATAGGAAGTTGTTTTTTTTTTTTTGGTGTCGGGTTTCGCCCTCGAGGAAGGGCGAAGGGTACTGTCAGACTCTTACTGACTAAAAACCAACCCGGTGTTCCTCCAATAACCCATGTGTCGGAGGGGCGGGTATCGCCGAAGCATTCGTCGCAAACCCCCGACGGAAGTTGATATGACACCAAAGAGAATAATTTGTTTAATTTTACACGAAGAGTATTCAAAGATGTTATAGACAACTTGTCTATACAAGATCTTTGTTGTAACGTTGTCTATATAAGATCATTGTCCTAACTACACTCATAAACTAATAATAGGTATACTAAAATAGAGGATCCTCTTGTAGTAGAGTAAGATCCTAGAGCGATAAGACACCACTTATTTTCACATAAACGAAACCTCATGTTCTCAGTAGTAGTAGTTATGTGCTTAGAATACCTGCGCGTTTGTGGAGCTGGCCGAGTGACACCTGGGCAGGTACCAGGTGTGAAAGGTAACTAAAATTAATCATTACTTAACTTATTTTTTTATAGCTGATTTTTATATATATATTGTAGAGTATCATTATAAAGTTATACCATAAGCGTCAGACACTTTTCATGGGCCAGAACTTTTGTCAGACGCTTTAAAGCTCTACAAAAAATAAATGAACTTAACTTATTTTTACATGTCTGACTTTTAAATATGTTGTTAAGACAATTGTTACGAAGTTATATTTAATTAGTCAGACAACATTTATTGGCCAAACACCCGCTAAATTGCAAAATTACTCAGCCGTGAGTATGAGCGCGAAAGCATAATAGGTGCGTTTCGGAGCAAGTGACGGTACGTTCACACGGCGTCGAGTGTTTCTCTACCGAATCGGTTTTTTGCAGGATTCGGTTTAGTGGCATAAGTATTTCAATGAAGGAGTTCACACATGCATTCGGTTTCAAGACACGACAAAAAAGCCGAATCTTGCTGAAGTTGACATCCGATTTTGCGACTACAAACCGATCCGGCGATACTGCAAAATGCAGATCCGATACAGTGGTATAGGGCATTCAATATATGCGTTCATACGATACACGCAGGGGTAGATTCGGTTTTTTGTCGGATCTTGAAACCGAATGCGTCGCACAAGTTGGGAAGGAGGGGTGGGCGGGAGGGACACACTGCACGTGCGCTTGCCAGTCGCCAGTTCTTTTCGCCCGCTTTGACTGACAGCTCGCTATGACGACGAAAAATATAAACGTTGAAAATTTAATTTCTCTTGTCCAAAATCGGCCAGTTTTATGGGACAAAACTCTCGAAATATACAAGGATAAAAACTTGAGAACTGCTGGCTGGCGAGAAATATGTATAATTTTTGAATGAAGATTTTGAAGAAATGGAGGAGAAAAACAGACAGGATTATGGTAAGTTTGTAATTTTTTTAACCTATTAACCGCCGCAGTCGTATATAACCGACAGTGTGATTTCGACTTATAACCGCCACAGTCGTAAAATAAATAAATGTTTAATCGTTTTATTGGTACGAAGCCGTGTATATACCTATATAAAATAAAATTAAAATCTTACCTTGATTGCCTTTATATTAAGATTATTATCACGATCGCAGTGTGGTCGATTCACGGACAGGAAAATAATATAGGTGCTTATCGAATCGATAGGTACCTATATTATTTTCTTGTTCTTCCTTTATTAATATATACATGTTTATAAATACATGATAATTGAAAAATTATAAAATATTTTTGCTTTTATTAGAAACAACATTCGAATTTCAAATAAGCAATTTACGAAAAAAGGAATGTGATTGATTATTTTATATCGCGAATATTGTCGATAGTTGGAAATTAAGTATTGTCAATCCCTATACACTTCCACTTTCTTTTGTAATTCAAAGCCACAGTCGGATATATACGACAGATAGGGATTTCAACATGTTTTGAATGAATGAATTGACCGTATATTATTAAATTAAACAAACTTTTATTTATTAGATTTAACTTTTATTTATTATATTTAACTTTTATTCAGCTAATTGATTCGTCTTGCCAAGGCACAGCTCCTGCTGTAGAAATAAAATAATTTGTGAATTCAGATCGTATAACATTAGCACATCGTCCACCTCGTGTACTATTTTGTTCATTGGGTGCATCTGTGAACACGTTAACCACTGATGATACATTGCTTGTTGTTTCTATGTTCGACTGTACACCTTCCATATCTATTATAAAATTATGAAGTACAGTGCAAGCCTTTACAATCGATATTGCTGTGCTGGTATCAACATCCAGTGGACGATGAAATATTCGCCACTTGTTAGCTAATATCCCAAAGGCGCACTCAACATAGCGTCGAGCTCTGGTTAATCTGTAGTTATATATTCTTTTGTTTCTATCCAAATGGTTTCCGCCGTAAGGTCTCATCAAATGTTGATGCAAGCCAAAACCTTCATCGCCTATTACTACAAACGGAATCGATAAATCGGAATCGTTTGTCAGTGGACATGCTGCCGGTAATTGCAAATCACCATCTATTAGTTTTTTCCAAAAAGTACACTCCTTGAATATTGTCGAATCGCATTCTTTTCCATACGAGCCCACACAGATGTATGTAAATTTATAATATGAATCAACCACTGCTAATAATACGATGGAAAAGAAATCTTTGTAATTCATAAACATGGAACCACTGTTGTTTGGCTTTTTTATCCTAATATGTTTACCGTCCACTGCACCAATGCAATGGGGAAAGTTTGCTCTAGTATTAAATCCATTGGCGATATATTCCCAGTCAGATATTGTGTTGGGTAATGTCATAAACTCCCATGCAAATTGTTCCAAATAGCATTCGTTACTTCCTTAATAATGTTACTGATCGTAGACACTCCGACTCGGTAGGCGTAATGTAAATCCTTGTATGAACACCCAGAAGCCATATATCTGCAAGTAAATTTAATTATATTTTTCAGCTAAATCGATCGTAAAGAAGTGGACTAATATTAGAGACAGCTGGATGAGGAGTATTAATGAGAAAAAGAAATCAAAAAATCAGGATCGTCTGCGACATGTCCGAGAGCCTACGTTTATCATCGTCAAATGTTGTTCTTAAAAAAATTGTGTCGCCAGCTGACACACATGATAGTGCAACTATTGCTACACCAAACCCAGCAGACGATAGTACAGCCGCTACAGTTACATCAGATGTTACCCATGACAGTGCGATGGCTCAGGACAATTTATTCGGTGAAGATGTCGCAAATAATCAAGATGCTACAGATGAAAGTCAACAAGAAAGTAATAATGAAAATTTAGTAGGTGGTTCGAAAAGAAAAAAAAGCAGACCATCGAGGCAGAATTTAAACGTGTTTGATAAGAAAATGAGTGAGTTTATAGATTATCAAATGGAATGCAAGAAGAAAGAAGAAATGAAAGAAGACCGTAATTTGTTTTTCTTTAAAAGTCTACTTCCATCATTGGCAACGCTAAACGATAATCAAACATTAGAATTTCAATCAGGCGTCTTAAATTTATTGCAAAATATAAAGAACCGAAATGAATGGTCTCCTGCACACTCATCAACATACAACTATCAACCAAATGTGGCACAATCACAAGGCTATTTTACATCGCAGTACCAAGCATCACCAGAGTCTCAAAGTATTCAATCGAATGCTTCTGATTTACCAGACTTTCATAATATGTAGTTGGGAAACTTCAAACTGTGTACCTACCAAGCGATTGTCTATAATATCTTAATCATATTTTTAATAAATAATTTAATTATAATAAAATACAGTATTTCAATCTTACCTTATACATATCGCTAATTTTTCTTCTGGTCTAATGCTTTTCCTCATATTTGTATCACGCTTTTTCAAATCTTTTTCCACTTTTTTCAAAAGATTATCAAATGTAGGTATAGTCATTCTAAAGTAGTTAAAAAAATTTTGTGGATCATTTCTTAACTGCTGCATTAGAGTTGTAAAGGCACCAACTGTTGATCTTCTTTGTACTATTGGGTTTAACCACAATCTTTTTCTACGACGCTGACGGCGATAATACCAGTATAGTATAGCAAGACTGTTCACGTCCATCGCTTCCAAATCAACGTGAGGAACTGTGCGCGCTCTTGCTAATAAAAGCCGGATGGTGAGTTCACACGAGATCCCGATACGAGGCCGTCGGATACGGCCAAGCAAGATGTGCTGTGTGAATACAACATTCGGTTTTGCCAGATCCGATGAAAATAAGATTCGGCAAATCGTGTCTCCGTGTGAACGTACCGTGAGACGGTCTTACAACTCAGTTCCCCTTCTCTCATTCGTGTAATTCCACCTGGCCCAGGTGTCACTCGGCGAATATAATATATTCATCTATGATTATTGAAACGGAAAACGTTGTATTATACGTGAGTACCTACATATTATGTAGGTCACGCCAGGGAAAACCATAAATCTTCTTATATATAAAAATGGATCGCAAAATGTGTTGATAAGTGCATAAGCTCAACAACGCCTGGACCAATTTTGATAATTCTTTTTTTGTTGAGTTTGTTATTGTCAGGAGAAGGTTCTTATCAAAGAAAATATAAGAAAAGTAAAGGTGAAGATTCGGAAAAAGTGACACTGATAGCGAGATAGTTGAACCCGTGCGAAGCGGGGGCGGGCCGCTAGTAATAAATAAAAATCAGATTTATGTGGCAATTTGTTGTTTAAGGATTGATTTTTTAATAGTCAGATAAATCTTACCTGAGGAAAATAATTGTTGCCGTCACTGTTTTATACAAACATTCTGACGCGACATCATCCTATCTCAGAATACAGAACAAACCAGAAGGCGTTATCGCGCTTAAAACAGAAGCATCTAAAACCACTCTTTACTATAGTAGTATGAAATTTCTACGATTAGTCAATTTTGGCACGTGGCATGTCGTGACGTATTTACGAGTATCAATTTTAATTTCATTATGCCGTCTTGTGTTATTACTACGAGTAAAAATGCGACTGGAAATACGAAAAAAGTGGATAAGATTACATTTCATCTGCAAGCATCGACTGCAATAGTATATTTAATTAATTATTGAATTTTTTTAATCAATTTATTTTTCTATGAAAATTATGCGGCCATTTTGTGTGTGTGTGTTGTCATTTTGGTGAAAATTTTACCCACTTATTTATTTTTTGTGGGTTAAATTTCTGTCCATTATCTAACAAAAAAATTAAAAATCATACAAAAGGCACGGCTAGATTCATTTTGGAAACCATCTAGCCAGAGCATAGTTTGCTCAATTTACTTTGAAGAGATATATGTATTTATGACAAAGGTGGTTTGAACAGCATTTCCTACTAAGATATATCTATAGGTATACTAATTATAATGCTGAAGAGTTTGTTTGCTTGAATTCGCTAATCTCAGGAACTAAGTAAAGTAAGTAGACTTCTAATCTTTAGTTCCGAGTCTAAAGACAATACATAATAATATTATAAAAAACTAAACCAGCAAAAGCTAAACCTTCGCACTTATTGAAGCTTTGTTGTGCACAGTAGGTGTAACTAAAATTAACATTAACATTTATAGTAAGTTTACGTATTTTTGTTGGGTTTACCCAACAAAATATATCTTACCGTCCTGTTGTAAAATTACCCCAAACCAATGACGTTTTTATACATCATTGCCCCAAACCAAGGGAATTGTTCCACTGTCGGCAACACTACGCGGGTGGGAAGTGCGGCTGGGGACTTTTTGGCGGGAGTTCAAATATAGCGCATGAAAAGTTTTTTCATTTGTGATTTTTTTTTAATCTAATATTTTATTTCATTGTAAATTGCATGTAAATAGTAAAGTGTACATAATAGTGTATTAAACATGGATGTTGGCGAGGGCGGGGGCCCAAAACCCCCGGCCCCAAAAAAACATAAACTTAAAGACTTGGACGATGGCGGCGGGGGTAAGGAAAGTGATTTTTTACCCTATCTAAAACCCGGATACAAAAGACTTTATCCAGAAAATTCTTCAAATTTGGAGTTCAAAGTTTACGTGCAGGGTGAAAAAATTGGCAATAAAAGTCCAACCTTTTTAAATCATATATTTGTAAATGAGGTAAAAGGTGTAGTAGCGATTCGTAGAATCAATGCTAACAAGATTGCGGTGGTGTTCAAGCAGTATAATACTGCTAATAATTTTATAAGTAACTCTTCATTTCTGGAGAAGTACAACTTTAAGGCGTTCATACCAGCGGCAGACATAGAAAAAACAGGAATTATCCGATACGTACCCACAAACTTATCTAACAAGGAGCTTTACTCAAAGCTAGAGTCGGAGTATGAAATAATTGCAGTCCGACGATTCACCAAAAAGGTTGGACAAGAACGGGTACCACTTCATACAGTGAGCATTACCTTTCTGTCCAGTTCTTTACCACAAAATGTACAATATGACTTATTCTCTTACCGCATTTTTGACTATATCCCTCCTCTACAACAATGTTACCGTTGCTTCAAATTTAACCACTCAGCCAAAATATGTAATGGCAAACAAAAATGTAGCATTTGTGCTGGGGACCACTCATATAGAGAGTGTGATAACCCCTCAGCAATCTGCTGTGCTAATTGCGGTGGACCACATTTAGCAATTTCAAAGGCATGCGAAATCAAGTTAAAAAAGATAATGGAAAAAAAGGAACGTATTACTTACGCTAGTAAGGCTGAAACTAAACTTAATGTGACTCAGGGAGATTTCCCACCATTGCGCAAACCAAGACCTCAGGTCAATGTAAATAAAAATTCTGTTGTAAATAAAAATGTAAATTCTGCACCTATAAATAATGTACCTGTAAATACTGAACCTAAAATAATTTCTGTTGCTGATGTCAAGGCTCAACTCCTGGCAAATAATGACTTACTTAAGGCCATTGTTCGCACACTCATTGTAATCGCCAATAAGGGCAAGGATGATCCTCCAATCAATACAACAACTATTAAAGATATTCTACTGGAGAATCTTACATAATGGATATAGACTCCAATATACAATCTCAGCTATGCATTGCTCAGTTTAATATACAAAGTGTATACAGTAAAAAGCCCTTACTCTTAAAGTTTCTTAATGATAAAAATATTGATATTTGCCTTTTAAATGAAACGTGGATTAAAGATAACAAACCTTTCCACATTCCTGAATATAATATACATTTCAAAAATGCAGCTAATGAACATGGGGGAATAGCTATCCTCATAAAACATAATTTAAAGTATACAACTTTACAAACCACATTTTATGAAGATGTACAAACTGTTGCAATTTCTCTTTCTACAGAGTTAGGTGACTTATCTATTTTGACTGTGTATTGTCCACCACACAGTGGCCATACTAGATTAAACAAATTGAGAAATATCATAAAAGAACTGCCCAAGCCAGTGTTCATTTCAGGAGACTTTAATGCTCATCATATTGCTTTTGGCTGTGTAAGCACCAAGGGCAGAGGGCAGCAACTATATGATATAATTGATGAGTTGGATCTATGCTTGTTGAATGATGGCAGTTTCACAACAAATAATCGGCCTAATTGTAACCCATCAGCTATTGATATCACTTTTACAAGTGCAGTTTTAGCACCACTGTGTGATTGGACTGTACATGATGACAGTATGGGTAGTTATCATTTCCCTACAATTACAAATCTTACTTTAGCTGTTAATAAATATCAAACAAATCCTCCAATAGAGAAATTTTTATACAAAAAAGCAGATTGGGTGAAGTACTGTGAAATATCTGAAACTTTATTTAATGATATCAATGTGGATACTGAGAACCCTTTGAAGTCATATAATACCTTCTGTAATAGACTTAGCTCTTTGAAGTTACTTTGCATCCCAAAGTATACCAAGACTAGTTCATATAGAAGTAGGCCACCAGCGCCATGGTGGAATGAGAAGTGCGAACAAAGCGTCATTAAGTCTTATCAAGCTTTAAAATACTATAGAAGTAATCCTACAATGGATAACTACATTATATATAAGAAGTTAGACGCCTTGAAAAAGAGAACCATATCTGAAGAAAAGAAAAATGGTTGGCGCAATCTCTGTGAGTCTTTTAATAGAAATACTCCTATCAGTAAGATTTGGAACTATATTAAAATGTTTAAGGGTAGGAAAACTCATAATAAATCACTTTCTGATGAATTTGTTTTGCCATTCTTAGATAAACTATCAGATAATGGATCTGATGGTATAGTTGATGTTGATATGTATTTTAATATTAATAATGATAATAATGAGACACAGTTTTTAATTGAACCTTTTACATGGCATGAGTTTAATATGAGTCTTCATTCCCGAAAAAATTCTGCGCCTGGATTGGACAACTTTCCTTATAATTTGATAAAACATTTACATATATTGGTGCAAAAATTGTTTCTGAACATTCTTAATGCACTTTGGCTCCATCAAGTAATTCCACTGTCTTGGAAAACACAATGTGTGATACCAGTGCTTAAACCAGATAAACCAGTCAATGATGCTAACTCATATCGACCTATTTCATTATCATCCTGTCTTGGAAAAATTTTTGAGAACATGGTTAAGATTCGTCTTGATTGGTATGTGGAATCGAAGTGCATTATCCCAACTATTCAATTTGGCTTCAGAAGAGGCAGAAGTTGTGCAGACAGCTTTGTTTCTCTTATCTCAGATCTGAAAAGAGCAAGAAATAATAATGCTAGTGCAGTATGTACCTTTTTAGATGTACAGGGGGCATTTGATAATGTGCAACCTGGTATTTTGATTAAAATTCTGTCTGATTTAGGTATTCCAGGAAAATTTTGTAAATGGATATACTCTTTCTTAAATGAAAGAATACTATATGTAAAACACAATAATATTTTACATGGTCCTAGGCAAGTGTCAAAAGGAACAATGCAAGGGGCAACTTTGTCCCCATTGTTATATAATATATATACATCTCAAATTTGTAAATATGTAAATATGGATAATGTAAATATTTTGCAGTTTGCTGATGACCTTGTTGTATATAGTGTACATAATGATATTGATTTGGCAATTGCTAATATTAATAATGCTCTTAGTCAATTATATCACTACTACAACAATAAACTTCGATTAAATATCAATCCCAACAAAAGTAATGTAATGTTTATAACAAAAGATTTACCTAGCTTGTCTGTGTTATACAATGATAAAGCAATTCCTATAGTAAGCAGTCATAAATTTTTAGGTGTGCAAATTGATAATAAACTGACATTCCAAGGTCATATCAAGTACATTTTACAAAATTCTTTGAAAGGCTTAAATATCATGAGGTGTTTGGCAGGAGTCTCCTGGGGAGCTGACCCAGTTACTCTTGCTATTTTGTACAAAGCCATTGTAAGAAGCCATTTTGATTACAGTTGTCTAGCCTATATTGATTGTAATTATGTACATAGATTAGATATAGCACAAAACAAAGGTCTGAGGATAATATCTGGCGCCATGTGCTCAACTCCCATCCGTGCCATGGAAGTTGAGACAGGGGTGATGCCCCTTAGTATAAGAAGATATCTACTTGCTCAAAGATTTTCTGTAAAGCTATTTGCAGCTAATAATAATGAAGTTTTAAGAAGAATTTTACCTCAGTATCCAGTAGTTCACAATGTGTCTGGTGTGACTGGGGCTGGCCTTCACTGTCATATTATCCCAGATTTATCTCAGGTTATCCTGGAAGCACATTTTAAATTTTCGAATATAATTAAAAGTTCTCATTGGGCATGTTACTCCACAAAGTACAAGATATTGTTATTTGAAGTCTCAATTATAAATACAGTAGTTAGTAATAATGAGGAGTTATTAAACTTTATTCACCTTAACAGTCACTATTATAGACTTTATACCGATGGCAGTAAGGGTTTGTCTCATGTTCGCAGTGCTGTTTATGATCCTCAAATTCAGTTTTGTCAAAGCTTTGAGCTTAGTCTTTTATGTAGCATATTCACTGCAGAGGCTTATGCAGTTCTTGAGGCCCTGAAAAAAATTTCATCAATGCATTACACAACCTATTTAATTTTGACTGACTCTTTAAGTGTGATTAAAGCATTAGAGAATATTAATTTTCATTTCAAAACAAATTATCTTTTAATTAAGATTCGAGAAGTTTTATTTAATTTAAAAAATAAAGGCATTTCAGTTTCTTTTATGTGGATCCCTTCACATAAAGGTATTACTGGCAATGAAATCGCTGATAGAGCTGCATTTGATGGGATAAATTGTATAAATGTATCTAATATTGTAAAGGTACCTTTTACGGACTGCTATGCACTGATTAGAGAAAACATAAAACATGTATGGAAAGACTTCTGGAAGAAAGACCAAGAAGAAAAAGGAAAGTGGTACGGTACTATTCAATCGGACTTACCTGTGAGACCGTGGTATGACCAAAAGCAATACAAGTACGCCAGACGAGATTTTATATCTACTATATGCAGGCTTCGATTCGGACATCATAGAACACCCGCACACCTTGCAAGACTCAAACTTGATGCAAATGACAAGTGCTTGAATTGTAACGTCTTATGTGACATTAGTCACATAGTGTTGGTATGCAGTGACTACAACATGCAAAGGTTGATTTTAGCCAGTGAACTAAGTGAAATTGTAGATAATGTTTCCTCCCGCCACCTAGAAGATCTACTACGTGATCCAAAGTGTTTAGTGCCGTTATACAATTTCATTAAAAATACTCTGGAAAGTATATAATAACATAAAACCGAGTAAATTAAAAGACTTGGCTTAAAGGACTCGTATCCAGGCCATAAACTCCAAAAAAAAAAAAAAAAAAAGAAGTGCGGCTGGCGGGGGGATTGACGTATTGTTTTTGGACACATTTGACGACATGTAATTATGAGTGAACGCGGCTTCTGGTTTGTTCTGTATTCTGAGCATCCTATTTATTCCCCCAGACAACTTTTATCTAACCTTTGAAAAACCAGCCTTAAGACAATAATTATGACATGATGTCAATATTCGATGTTCCTAAAAGTTTTATTGAATGAATAGGTACTCGTAAAAGTAAATAAATACATGTGGGAGCGTCAGAAGGAGGTCTCGTAGCGGTCATGGTTGTCACTTTCCATCATGGGCGTTGTAATTGTAACAATTAGAACCAACACAAAATAAGGGCCCGCTTGTATTATTTGGTTTCCTCGCTATTTTATTCACAATCACATTAAGATTAATTATTATTATTAACATTAATCATTAAGATGGAATGAGATTTCGAGCCAATAGGTTAGCGTCTCAGAATACAGAACAAACCAGAAGCCGCGTTCACTCATAATTACATGTCGTCAAATGTGTCCAAAAACAATACGTCAATCCCCCCGCCAGCCGCACTTCCCACCCGCGTAGTGTTGCCGACAGTGGAACAATTCCCTTGATTTGGGGTAATTTTACAACAGGAGGGTAAGATATATTTTGTTGGGTAAACCCAACAAAAATACGTAAACTTACTATAAATGTTAATGTTAATTTTAGTTACACCTACTATACACAACAAATAAAACAAAGCTTGCGAAGGTTTAGTTTTTTATAATATGTATTGTCTTTAGACTCGGAACTAAAGATTAGAAGTCTACTTACTTTACTTAGTTCCTGAGATTAGCGAATTCAAACAAATAAACTCTTCAGCATTATAATTAGTATAGATATATCTTAGTAGGAAATGCTGTTCAAACCACCTTTGTCATAAATACATTATCTCTTCAAAGTAAATTGAGCAAGCTATGCTCTGGCTAGATGGTTTCCAAAATGAATCTAGCCGTGCCTTTTGTATGATTTTTTTTTTTTTTTGTTAGATAATGGACAGAAATATAACCCACAAAAAATAAATAAGTGGGTAAAATTTTCACCAAAAATGACAACACCCACAAAATGGCCGCATAATTTTCATAGAAAAATAAATCGATTAAAAAAATTCAGTAATTAATTAAATATACTATTGCAGTCGATGCGTGCAGATGAAATGTAATCTTATTCACTTTTTTCGTATTTCCAGCCGCATTTTTACTCATAGTAATAACACAAGACGGCATAATGAAATTAAAATTGATACTCGTAAATACGTCACGACATGCCACGTGCCAAAATTGACTAATCGTAGAAATTTCATACTACTATAGTAAAGAGTGGTTTTAGTTGCTTCTGTTTTAAGCGCGATAACGCCTTCTGGTTTGTTCTGTATTCTGAGGTTAGCGTGTACATTTCGGCTGCTTTGATTATTTATATGTCATATTTTATGACATGTAAACAATCAAAGTTCGGCTGGGAGCTGTCAACAGGATGCCCGCTGCCATTCCCAAAGACATTATACTCTAAACTAGACTGTGCACTAAGGCGCAAAAACCGGGCCGGTGCGAGACAGCTCCCGATGGTAGTGTGTCCCTTTCTAATGTAGTGACTCCAGAACGGTTTACAGTAACTACCTCGTGTTTTGACTTAATTCATTTATATTGATGAGAACTTTGCACTTATATGGATTGTGTATAATGAAGGTCTGCAGTATACCTGATGATGGAATGAAAAAGACTGTTTTCTTTTAATATTGATTCATTTTTATACATTGCTGAACAATACAGTTTTACGCAATTTTTGTCATAATGTAGCCTTATTTCCTACATGTTTGAGGCTAAGTCTTAAATTTAAGTTTTTTTGACCAATACATTTAATCAGTAATAATCAGTCCAATTCGTGGGATTGGTCAGATGCTGGATGGGCAGGCAAAAGGTGCTTAATTTTAGGGGTGAATTGATATTTATGACATGTAAACAATCAAAGTTCGGCTGGGAGCTGTCAACAGGATGCCCGCTGCCATTCCCAAAGACATTATACTCTAAACTAGACTGTGCACTAAGGCGCAAAAACCGGGCCGGTGCGAGACAGCTCCCGATGGTAGTGTGTCCCTTTCTAATGTAGTGACCATGACCAAACAGAATACGGGATAAATTGCTTGTAAAAACTATTATTTAAGTATCATGGTATATTGATACTACCAAACTAGCGTAACTTCACCAACCTAATTTTTTGTAATAAAACCAATATGTATATTTTTAACCTACTTCCAAAAAGGAGGATGGTTCTTAATTCGACCATATATATACATGCTTTTTTTAAGTTTGCTCGCCTATATCTCCGTTATTTATGAACCGATTTTGATAATTCTTTTTTTGTTGGCAAGGAGATAGTTTTAGAATGGTCCCATGATAAGGAAATCAGGATCTGATGATGGAAGACCAGAGAAGACCAAAGAAATTGAGAACTTTCAAAAATTGAAGGTACGAGTGGTGCGTTTGCATGTGGTTTTAGTAGGCTTTTGACAACGCTATAACTTGCCGATGTTCGAACTCGACCTGATGATGGAGCTGGAAGACAGTCGAGGGATCTCCTTGACTATTTGAAGAAGTTGCCTTGTGTTTGGGCTTGAATGATTCGTATTGATGAGCACTTTGCACCAAGATTGGTCATGACTGTCACTAAGGGTCTGAAGATGAGAATGAAAGACAACTCAGGGAACTCCAGAACGGTTTACAGTAACTACCTCGTGTTTTGACTTAATTCATTTATATTGATGAGAACTTTGCACTTATATGGATTGTGTATAATGAAGGTCTGCAGTATACCTGATGATGGAATGAAAAAGACTGTTTTCTTTTAATATTGATTCATTTTTATACATTGCTGAACAATACAGTTTTACGCAATTTTTGTCATAATGTAGCCTTATTTCCTACATGTTTGAGGCTAAGTCTTAAATTTAAGTTTTTTTGACCAATACATTTAATCAGTAATAATCAGTCCAATTCGTGGGATTGGTCAGATGCTGGATGGGCAGGCAAAAGGTGCTTAATTTTAGGGGTGAATTGATATACTGTCATATTAAGCATTTTTTTCATATTCAAGCTCTGTAAATCAGGAGAGATTACCAAAAAAAAGATTTTCTATATACTTTACTACATTGAACACATGTTGAAGCCTCAGATTAATATAATTACAATTTTGTTTTGTGTTAATACTACTTTGGCAAGGGAATATTTTAAGAAAAATTGTCAAGTATATAGGTGCAAGGGACAACATCCGATAGGAATGTTCCCATGTCCTAATAGAAAATGAAGTCATATGGAGTGTCATGTTGTATAAGAATCATGTTACTTGACACCAATAAACAGTAACTGCACTTCGCTTTGGCTCAACAAATCAAATGAATGAAATTCGAAACTAGGTAGGCTATGGAGAAATTATATTGTTTGTATAAGTATGTAGGTTGGTATTAGATTGTTTGGAATATCTTGGTACATTAGTTTTGGCGTATGACTGAGAGCTGATCACTTAAGGTCAATGTAATATTTTGTTCACCAAGCAATTCATTGATTGTGTTTATGTTGGTAGGCTACAAAAGGATAAGTAAGTCAAATTAATTATATTCGGTACACATCGTAAAGTACAATTTAGTGATCATTTCCGTAGTTTCATAATGGTATAGCCGAACGCTCTCTGTTAAAATTACTAAAGGACAATGACACTAAATAAACAAATAAATAAACTAAGCACAATATGAAATGACTATGATAAATAAAAATAATGAAATAAATAAAAACAGGTACCAGAGGGTCCTGTATAATGTGCTTAGTAGGTATGTAAATGGAATATTATGTAGTTACCTCACAACAACTATAAACAGAGATAAAGTATAAAGTTAAAATGGTTAATGAAATATGTAATTGCAAATGTGACAAGTTTGGTAAGCTTAATTTTTTACATTACATTATCTTATTCTATAAAACATTCAAAAATTCTATTATAAGTAATTGTCAACAGTGCAAATATTTAAAGTAAATGTTTATTAAGTTTTTATTATAAGAAATAATGTATTTTAGGCTATATTTATTACTTTCTAAAAATCGGGGAAGGTGTAGTGTGTGAGATCTCTCCCCATAAGTAGTGTAAGTTATTAGGTATAATAATATACACTTAATTAAAGACGATCGTCCAGCTTACACGTCTCGTATTTGCTCCTACATTGCACCACATTTTAATGTAACACTTACTGGACGCTTATAACCTATTTACACCTGTTTACTTATAATATCATTGGTATTAACCAGTTCTTTAAAATAATAAAATGAAAAGGACACAAACGACAAATACAGTTAGTCGTATCTTCTGCCTATCTACTGCGATATAGTAAAAAAATCTTTGCTCAAGAAAATTCATTGTTACCCTAACGGTTAAAATAGTTCTTTTTACTTTAAAAAACGGCTAACGGTATAGGATTCATTTTTGCACCCTGTCACACAACAAGAATTCAACATATTTGCTGAAAAACAAACCGGTAAAAACGAAAATTTACTAAATCGCAAATCGAAACACAAGAATCGACCAAACAACGAAATCAGCAAACCACCATCTTGCATTAATTGTTACCAAACACAAACATTCAAGTACTATTGTTTACTCGGTATTAATGATTTTTCGTATAATACCACAAATTGACTATTAATTATAAGGACTATAAAGATATATATATACGTTTTGTAGTTTATGAATTGTTTGTTTTGTTAAAACATAAAACATAATTATATTTAATTTTCTACCATTTCTACCAACCCCTAAGGTTAGTTGAGCTGGCAAGATGTGAGACAAGGACACACTACCGTGAGGAGCCCTCTCGCCTGGACCGTTTTTAGTTTGTTAACGCTTTTAAGAAAATAGCTACCCTATATATAACGGCATAAAGCACATTTTAGCTAAATAAAAAAATTTGGTGCACAGTCTAGTTTTAAGTAAAAGGTCTTTGGCCATTCCTTGTATACTCGGAATTTTATTCATTGAGATAGAAAATATATAGAGGCGCCGTGTTATTTTAGAAGTATATATGCTTATACAAATATGAGTGAAATATGAAACAAACTATGAAACATCGTTTTTTCTCACTCTTTCTAAGGCAATAATTGTATTAGACAAAAGGGACAACAATATTTAAGTTGTTGCTTATCATGGCAACAAATCATTTTGACATTAGCAAAGTTGTAGGTAAGTGCCATGTCCGCCATCTTAAGCGCTCAGAGTACCTGAGTTTCATGGTAGCTGTGCTGTCAAACGGTTGTTTATGTTTTAAGTTATTGCTGTTTTCCAGTATATTACAAAGAACAATTTTTTTAAACATCAAATATATATAGTGAAACAAAAAAACAATATGCCTGTGTGTTGTATTGTGCAGTGTGGTGCAAAAAAGAACGAAAATCAACCTCAATTGTCTTTGTATAGGTTAGTAAACAGTTTTCATCAAATATTACTTAGAATAATCCACATAGATAGAAAAAAATGTCACGGATACTTTAATCTATTGCCAAAGTATATATATTTACTTTTATTTCTGTCTGTGAGACAGTTTTAGTAAAAAATTACCATTTAACAAAAGTATCGATATAATCTCCCATTTAAAATTCAACATATATTATACTAAATAATCTATTTTAACAATGGATGTCTCCGCAGTTTTGTGTAACGCTAAAGTAAGACGTCAGTATTTTGGTATTGGTTTTAGTTACATAAGTAGAAGTTCAAATTATCATGTTTTATAATTATACGGGCGCGATTGACAGAGCGGCGTTGGCGACGATCCCAGTGCGACCACCAAGCGTAATAATAAAAAGTGAGATACATACAATAAGATTGACTTCACTACATATCTATTTTGTGCTAAGGTAGTTTCGAAGATATCATCGCTTAATCAGACGCGCCGAAATTGTGCGCGAGCACTTCACAAATACCCACAGGTTTTCCACATATATAAAGATAAACATTTAACAAACACTATCTTTTTCTATTTCACCATTTCATTAAACGCTGTTCATAAACACAGTCCTATTTTTTTAAAAGACGCTTTACGTAGAATTATATGGATACAAATTCGACTTGAGAAAATCATTAGCCAATCAAGAGACCAAGTTAACCCCGGGTTCCGGGCTCTAGCTAGGCCGACGGCAAAATAGGAACAGGAGTTGATTTTAGTCAGTAACGGTCTGTCCCGAAAAAGGCCGGAGAAAATTCCCATAAAAAATACCGTTCATCAGCTGGCTAATCCCTAAAACTATACCTACGTAGAACTTTTACTCAAATTGTATCGATACTCGTTAAATACTTAGTCGGCACAACCCTAGCAACGGCAGCCATCTTATGCGACATTTTGGATTGTAGGTAGGCACCTTTTTTTCGTAGGTATTTCAAGTCCATATATTTCCTATGTCAATGCACTATTCTAAATATATCATAGAGTTGAACCAAAGACAAAAACCATAGGTAATTTAAACAGGTCTATATTTAGCATTGCCTTATGGAATATAATATTTAATCAAATAGTCTAAGACCATTCATTAAATTTATTTATATACAGTCAACGAGGAAGGCATTCACTTTTCTAATTGATATTTTATCTCTTTGAATATGGACGGCGGTGGGGCGAATAGCGTTACCCAAAAGCACATTTTGAATGTCAACAAATAGTTCAAGAATTTAGTATTGTGAATATTACAACCGACAATGAAATGAACCTTTTATTTTTCGCATCATTGCACCAAAGAGAATATAAGCACTACGTTTATCATAGAGCACGCACTTATCATAGAGTTGAACCAAAGACAAAAAACCATAGGCAATTTAAATAGGTCCATATAAATAGTCTATGACCATTGACCATCCATCCAAAGAGTATGTAACCACTACGTCATCCATCAATCAAGTCATTCAAGTCTATTTATTTACAGTCAACGAACGAGGACGGTCTTCACTTTTATAACTGATATTTTATCTCTTTGAATGTGGACGGCGGCACGGCGGTGGTGCGATCAGTGTTATCCAAAAGAACATTTGAATGTCAACCTTTAATAGCTTCAAATTTCTAAGAATCGCATACCATGAGCTAGGCTATTCTATCCGCGTGTAGAGCTGGATGTGGTGGTGTATGTAAATAATTTACTCTATTTTTATCAAACTTCAGAGGAAATAGGGCGACTGTGGTTTGTATAACGAGTTAATGTTTTAAAAAATGATTTCTTCTTTCTCTATAAATTAAATGTGCTAAATGATGTTACTTTTTTTTTCAGTACATGACTAACAATAACGAACAAAATGGCCGCCAGCCTCCTCTACCGCCACAACAGACATCAATTCGACAATCTACAGATCAACAAAATCAACAGATTAGGAAATGTCGTGACTTTGTTTGGGGCATATGCACTAAAGGTGCTCAATGTAAATTTCGACACGAGTTAGATGTCGAATATATGAAAGAGATTTTGAGGTTCTGTCACGACTATCAAAACAAAACTGGCTGTACTAGATCAGATTGCACATACTTGCACGCAAGTAGAGAAGAAGAAAACCTCTTTCTAACCGCAGGACAAATACCCAGAGCTCTGGCGGAAAGATATGCAGCTATGTCTAACGCACCGATGAGCATGTATGTGAACGAGTATATAGCTCAAGCACCACCGCCACCTCCGCCGCCACCGCCGCCGCCTCCACCGCCAAGTTCTGCATTGCCACCACTTCCAGTATCTATACCTACTTTATTTGCTCCGCCGCCGCCTCCACCGCCGCCGCCGCCGCCGCCAACCACAGCTGTTGCACCTGTTCAGATGACACCACCCATATTCTCAGGTATGTTTTTGTTTAGCAGTTATTCAAATTGAATTCTCAAACCATGGAATCTGTTTAAACTTGAGACTTAGACTTTGATTTTTTTAAATATGCAATATGATAAATTTTAAATATGTAACAGTTTTTAATTATAATTACACCATGCCATGTTAAGAACCAAACATGAATTTTTGGTGTATGCTTTTTAGTTGTCCTTAACAATAAATAATTTGGTATGTCACAGAAACAGAAAACAGGTCATTAGGTGCAACCAATTTTGTTCCCACTACTCAATGCAATATTTTAGCCTGTCAAATCTAGTGTGCAGATTAGGCAATGTTATGAAATAACTTATGCTGCATCCGATTTTATACTGCTCGAATGTTGTGCTAGATCAACATATAAAGTATGTTTAGTGCAATTTGTAGTTATATGAAATTGTAACTTAATATTATTATTTTTTACAGCTCCACCTGCCTTTAATGCTTCTGCTATGTTTACTGCAACTCAGCCACCACCACCATTGCCACATATGTAAGTCTTTCTTTGTAACTCTGCAACAACATGTAAATAAATATCTTTTTATTGTGATCAAAAAATTATAACCCCAGTTTTTAATCTTTACATATTTTTGCAGGTTTGATGCTAGCAGACCTCCTCCTCCATTGCCAACTAATGCAACTCCAAACAAAAATGGCGCCATCAAACGTTCTGCAGAACTTTCTGATGAGGGTAATTATCATTAATATTGTATTATTACAGTATGTTGGTAGACTAAATGTCTTAACCTGAAGACCTTATTGAAAGGTGATAAAAAAGTACTGGTACTCAAGGAGAATGAAAATAATTGCGATTGTTTTCATTACAAATGTTACAAAATACCTTCAGTAATAAAATTCATCAGTATTTGAAACAAAATAGTAGCTCTAGTAAAAACCTTAAGATATATTGGGGAGTTATTTGATTTGATTTTATGTATTTATGTGTGACATTTGATTTAAAAGTGTAGAATTGCTGATATGTGGTTACAGAAACATAGCGTCACCAACCAGTTAAACAAAAAGAGAAGAGTGCCTATACATACAACAGAATAAAGATTATATTATGTTATGACATGTTTTCAATCTTAACTGTAACAAAATCAGCTACTTGTTTTTTTTAACATTCACTAATTGATGCTCAGCGTAGAAAAAAAAATTTTTTCATTAAAGGGTAATTAAAATAAAAGAATGAATAGCATGCGCGAATATTTAGCAATACATTTTGTGGAATAGCTTGAATATTTGGTTCTAATGTGACTTCTATTTGTTTATAAAATTGAGTCTTTTTGTATTGTTAATTACTAATTAACTCATAAGTTTATAGATGTATAAAATAACATCTTCCTTTTCTCTTATATTTATATTATTGTTTCATCATTTTGACATATCACAATCATTTCTTTTGTATCACATTCATTTAATGATATACATTTTGCCAGATTGGTTTACATCCAAAAAGGTACAAGCATTTTTTTCTTCAACATTGTCTATATTTGAGACATCACATTAGAAATACATAAAAAATAAGCTGAATAATACTGATAAATTTTTTAATCAGGTTGTGACTAAATCGCGGTTTCTACTATTCTTCAGAAAATTACAAGCAATGAGAATTATGTTCTTGTCATGACCTACTCGTATTAGATTAAACAGAGAAGCATGATTTTGATTACAAAGTTTGCTGAGATTATGAGATGGCAAGATAAATGTTACTTTAGAACAATTGTTATTCAAGTCTGGCACAATCGAGATATTTTATCACGATTTATAGGTATATTGTTTTAGAATTTAATTAGAAATCTAAACTTATTTAATGTAAATAGGAAGGTTTTATTTAAAATGCAGTGTATACATATCTAAAGACAAAACAAGACTCATGGTATTTTATTATTGAATTAAAAGTTTGCAATCAATTTAAAAATAATAAACGATTTTTAACCAATTTAAGAATAATAAATCTTGAACAAATAGTATAAAAAATCATTTTAAGAGCACATTAGTCTGTTGGCAGTTTTAGCGATGTCCATTGTGCAGTATTTATTTAACTGTTAATACTTATAAATTAGTGATAGGTGCATCTCAGCCGCCAGGCTTAGTTGTTATAATAGTATATAAGCATTGTCAGGAACTAGCTGCTGTACACATACACAGTCACTGAATAAGGTCATGCATTGGTTATTTTATTTTTGATAATGTAACTATCAGTCAGGTTAAGAACATAACTGGTTTTGTGTATTATTCATGTCATAATCCTTGAAAAGCGTTAGGTGTTGTCTTCTTTCAAAAGAGAACCTGTAGGCAGACAATACTTTATTATGTAAAAGTTTATTGCATTTAGTTTATAATTACATTAGGATAGCTAATGTTATTTGCTTGGCGCATATTTATTTTGTTCTCAGCCGGGCCAAGCAAAACCAAGAAAGCGGACTGCGTCAAAGTTGACGGCTGCGAAAACTGTATCCAGCGGGAACTCAGGTTTGCAATGATGAGATTCTTCTTCATATTACTTGTTCGCATGACATTATTTAAGAATAGTAGCGCTGTGTTATTTTTCCGGGGTAAGGTTTGACACTGTGATGTATGAGAGTGGTAATGAATCGGCGAGTGTTTTAAAGCGAAGCGCATTCTAATTACGAATTAATTTTTAAAAGTGGAGAAGCGAATTTTAGCAATATATTATTATTGTTTACTACTTTGATTTTTGCTTGCATTATGCAAAATTATATAAAACTCAAGCAGACCTCGTGATCGCTACAGTTAAACAACCGGTTCACTGATTAACACTAATTAATATGCAATCAAAGAGCTTAATGGTTAAAAAGCACGCGGGCTTCAAGTAATATGCTATGATGCTGTGCGATATAACAAGTAAGATAGACAACCGTTTGTTATTATATATAAATTTCTTCAACACGCGAGTGGCAGGATCCTCTTTTGCGCACTTAATTAGCATTGACATTTGGCCAAATGACTATTAATTAAATTGCCAAGTAAGTTGCTAAGCCCAATATAATACAACATCTCGGCTATAATTCTACTACTTGATTCAAACATTTATTGATGTCGAAGGAAGCTAAATATGAAAAATCGCTGGTCGTACTAAAATCGTGGATTTGTTAACTTTGATATCTGAGATGTCTGCACAGCGATTATAATTGAACCTGGGATTGCATTTAACTTGATGGTAATAAATCCTATGGTGTTTTGATTCCTGCAATATAATAATACGAGTGTAACGTTTATAAAAGATAGCTTATTTCATATTAGAAAATAGTTGCTATACGCTAATATATAACTGTATAGCAAGCTAACGCACGAGATACATTAATGAACAATCAAAATATTCATTAGGTCTGAGCTGTACCGCCAGGAATTGCAGAAGCTGGAGTGTGAGCATGAATATCAGTCCTACATATTCGAGAAGAAGTCTGCTGAGTATGCCAATGGTAGACTGTTGCTGAAGTCAGCTGTCAGCTCAGATTGGTTCCGGATTTTGGATGAGTATATAGAGGTACTAGAAAGATACAAGTTTTTTATAATTTAATAAATAATGAAAAATAATTAATAGTATTTTTCTTATTCTTATTGTAGGAGTCATCTGAGCCGGCGCAAATTCATGATCTGCTAACCCAGTTTAATCAAACCCCTTCATTTGCTTCTGTAAGTGATTTTTTATATGTATTTAACTGAACTGTAGAAAAAAACTCTACTAAGCAAACTTGTTAGCTCAATGTGCAGGGATAAATAAACTCAAAACAAACAGGCACTTAATTTTTTTCTTTTTATGACAAAGGTTTTATTACTTTGACGATACATGCTATATAGATAGCATGTTGTTTGAATCATCCTGCATGATTCTTTATGTTCCAAATTTGGAATGTGATATTAAGAAAAATAATGATTATCGTGGGAAGCGCGGGAAACGTCGGCTTTGGCGGGAGTTTTTTTCTTTGCTTTAAATTAATTTAATTATTTTTCTTGTGTAAAGGATCAGAAAAGTAGTAGATTGTACGTGTTATTCTAATTAGTTTAGTTTCATAATTTGTATATTTAATTTGAGGATTCTGGTAAGTTTTTAACTCTTCTTGATCCGGGAGGAGGCTCCATACCTCCTCCAACGACGAATCTGAAAGCATAAGAATGTGTATGACGTGCATCCCCAAAATGCAATAAAAAGGCGCCAACAAAAGTCGACTTCTGTTTCTGTTAAAGGAGAAGATTGCGATTGCCAATGCCAATATTATAGTAACTCTGTTCAAACTCCACTAATTGCGCCTCCTACTATTATTGTCAATTCAATTTCAAATGAAAATAATGTAGCTCGTGCTCCAGTTGGCAGAACCCTGTATCAGTGTCCCGATGTTGCCCCATTCGTTGTCCACGTTCAAAAGGAACAGATGAAAATATAAACATAATCCATCCGGTTTCTTTTGGTTATTTTATGAATTAAAACAATTTCCGGAACATCATTGTTGGAAACTTTAAAAGAATCGGCAGAAACAGTGTTTCCTTATCCTTTTCGAAATTTGAAGATGCTGACAGTTTCATTACCAGTGATGTTTTGAAAGATCATAAATACAAGGCTTTTATCCCTTCTCTGACGAGGTGATGAACAATTTATATGTACCAATCAGCTGTCATAGCATAATTAAAATTTACCGTTTAAAATGAAAAGCTGTTCTGAATAATAAAGTTGAATTTACTCCTATAGAGACTGTTGTGATTACTATGGGCGGGTTCATCCCAAAAGGGTCTTCATGTGTTACACCTCTTTTGTAGTGCTTCTAGTGCTGTCGATTCAGACACGTCAAAGTCAATGCAGATCAGTCTCGAGATGCTTCAGATGTCGAGGAGCTCATTCTGGTGGCACATGTTCAATAACTGAAGATGATCCAATTCGCTGCCTTTGTTCAGGTTCCCATATTGCTACCAGTAGAAAATGTCCTGAATTTTCTACGCATAAAGTTATAAAAGAGTCTATGGGCAAGAACTACATTTCCTATTCAGAAGCTCTTAAGCTTCACCCTTCAGTCAAGTGTGCAAATCCTATGCCGATATCCTTATTTCTCTGAAGTCAGTGAATGCTCCTGAGCCTCCCTCATCTGCTTGGATTATTTGGACTTGGACTGCTTAATTACGTCACCTAGGTCCGGGTGCTACCACGCGATACGCGTACTAAGTTCTAAATAATCAGTGTTCATATTATGTAATATTACATTTTCAGGAAACTTCTACCGTGCCAAGACAATTTCTACTGCAATTGATCGAGTGCGTTTTTCGTAATCAACGACCTGTTGTAGAAACGGTTAGTAAAAGTTTTATAGCTTTTAAAATATATTTTACGTATATATTTAAAGAGACTGGTTATGATACGTGTTTGTTGCATATGCCGCAGCCGCCTGTACCAGTCGGAATGGAAGAATCTCCACTATTACAGTCACTGGCTGGATTCACCAGAAGAGCCAATCCGATTAATCATATGTCTACCGACGTCATCCAAACTATGTTGGAAGTTTTAAGAAATTGTAAGTTACATAACTACTAAAATGTAGACTTTTTAGTCACTCACACTTCAGAATAGGCCTACTAAGACTTAAAGTGGAATTGCTTTGCTGCTGCTTTCACTGGTCTTTTGCAATAAAAATCGTAGTATTATAGGTTATACAATTTTATGGTACATATTTTAGTTCTTAAAGCATATTGGTACTTACCAAATAATATTTTTGATTTAATTTTTCAGCTGCGGCATTAACAAATGAAAGAAGCCTAAACGAATCGCGCGCAAAAGAACTTTTAAATACGGAACGAAGCAGGCCAAGTGCTTCAAATGTTAGCAACAATAATTTTGGACAATTTATCAATGGACATACAACAGACAGTGCCACTTTGGCATCTATTACGACTCCTACAAGATATCCATGCACAACCAACATAACGGTGCGAACATTCGCCAGTGGAATGGTCAACACAGTGGCTTCAGCTTCGTCTCATTCACACCCACCGACGGCGGTATACTTGACTAATGCGCCTCACCTGCCGAATACACCCCTTACTTCTGCTGCACCCCGTCCACCGACTGCCCCTCATCCAACGCCGGCCCCTCATCCCCCGGCTGCTCCCCATCCTCCAAGCGCACCACATCCCCCGACTGCGCCTCATCCCCCTAGTGGTCCTCATCTTCCACAAGCATCTCATCCTTTAACTGCACCCCATCCGCCTAGTGCTTCCCATCCACCGACTGCCCCGCAATCACACGTGAGAGCAGTGACTACGCCGTCAACGTATTTACCGTACCAGCCGGCTGTTCCTCCACCACCTACGAGAGGTTACTATCCACAAGCTTATCCTTCTACGTCAAGTAGTAAGTTACTATCCATTGAAAATTTAATTTAAATCGCTTTGCGCTTTGTGATAATATTTATTTTTGTAAATGTTTTAGGTGTACAAAATGCCCATCAAACATATCCAAACTTTCCTGTGCGAGTGGCAGTAAATCCTCAAATGGCTCGTTCTTCAACGGCAACGACGGCGACGGCGACTGCGACGGCACCAGCACCGTCGGCGCATAATGCACAAAATTATAACGCGTATCTTATGGCCAGATATCCTCCCCAGCCACCTTTTGGTCCATACCAATAACATTGCGGTATGTACATTCAATATTCAATATGATCAGTCCAAAGCACAAAGATAAATAATTTATGACGACGCTCTCTACAGCGAAATTTATTGCGAATGCTGATGAAATATTATTATTATGTTGACTAAGCAAGATGGTTAATATGTGTATTTTGTGCAAAGTCAACCTTAAAGGATTTTCTTAATTTAGAAGGGTACAGGGACAAAACAAGGAATGCTACTTACACAAGTTTTTGTATAATACTTAGAATAGTTACACCTAGAACGATAGTTCTCTTCAAAACGCTCTGTCAAAAGTGAAACAAGATTCAAATTGATGTGTGCATAAGATTCCTGTATTTACGGTAGACGTATCGCACACATTGAAAAAATAATGCTGACATTACATTAAATTTTCCCTATAAGTGGGGAAACACACAGCTATTTAAAGCCTCTTACTTAATTTTTGAAATATTATATTGTTAAGTTCCTTGTGCTTTTCTAATGTACTGTGACATCTGTGCACAATCCGTCATTGTTAATAAAAATATCGCCAGTAGTTTTCAATACGAAATGACCTTGAGCACTGATAGATTCTAGATGTAATTATTCTGAGGTATTCACACGTACCTTTTATTTGTTTTTGCTTGACGTTTTGGCAGGGTTAAACCTGCCATGGTCACCAGCAGTGTCTGCTTCTAACCATGGCGGATGTAATCCCGTGAAACAGTAAAGTAATAATATGTAATGCGAAAGTTTAAAAATAAAATGTCCTTTAGAACCCATACGGAGTATATATGTGTATGGGTGACGCCTTCAAAATAGGCTTGTGTCTGTTGCTGTACTAATTGGCAAGTTATTTTGGTAGGTGATTCTTCTACATTCTGGTTTTCTTCTTCGCTTATGCATGATGAAGTGATGTTAGGTAGTGGCACATTTTGGTAGTCCGCAGCAGTACCATAAAATTCAGTATCTGCCTTACTTGAATGGTTGCCGTACTTAATGTATATTTCATTTTTGTGTGACATTCCTTGTTTTGCCCCTGTTCCCTTTATGATGTATAAAAAAAAATAACATGAGGCTTTTCGAAAGCTGCGAACTTTTAAGACTGATAGGTTATAACATTATATAATAATATATTTTTATAATAGATCTTGAATTTTAGGCCAGTTCAGATAACGTTTGGACACTAAAAAATGTTAACCGTATATCGTACCAATGACGTCATTCCCAAAATTAAAAGGACAGCAGTTGTCTTAACATATTTAATAATAATAGAAATTTAAACCGATATTTAAATAAATATTTACCTGGTTTGGGTTTAGGTTTTGAACCTACTGTTAAGAAACGACACGCGCACAAATTTGATTCGACGTTTTCTACCCATGTTAACCACAAACAAGTCGCTTGTCGAAGAAACCGGTTAATTTTGGTTAAAACAAAGTTCTTAAAATGTTCACGTCTTAAGAAAAGGTCGGCAAAAATTTAATAATTCCACAGAACAGGAAATTAAGTAGAAGTGAGGGGGGCTCTTTTCTCAAAAGGAGAACCAGTGTCGCTAAACTCACTTAGTCGCAAATTAAATGGTCCATTACACAGTATACAGCTGTTTTACTGTGTTGTTTCAATACTAATTATTATCATCAATACGAAACCCAAACACAAGGCAATTACTCAAACAGTGAAAGAGATCCCTCGACTGTCTTCCGGCTCCAACATCAGAATGCCTATTACAGAAAATGCCTACTAAAACAACATATAAACGTAAACATACTGAGAAAAGCTCTACTAGTTTCGAACCATAGAGGGGTTCTTCATCATGAGCAGCGTGCGCGGAACCGGCGATGTCGCGGAGCCTACTGCTGGTTAGTAGCGTTGGCGCCTGCATCGCTGTTAATGGTTGCGCTGCGGCGAGTCTAACGCGCCATTGATCGAGTGCGTTTTTCGTAATCAACGAACTGTTTGTAGAAAGTAAAAGTTTTATAGCTCTTAAAATATATTTTAAGAGTATATATTTAAAGAGACTGGTTATGATACGTGTTTGTTGCATATGCCGCAGCCGCCTGTACCAGTCGGAATGGACGAATCTCCACTATTACAGTCACTGGCTGGATTCACCAGAAGAGCCAATACGATAAATCATATGTCTACCGACGTCATCCAAACTATGTTGGAAGTTTTAAGAAGTTGTAAGTTACATAACTACTAAAATGTAGACTTTTTAGTCACTTAATAATATTTGGCCGGCTGGTTTACTTATGTAAGAAACTTTATAAAGTCTTTAAAAAAATACACAGTAAAGTAATAAACTTTTCTGTTCTTCAGAATTATATTATATATATAGCCTATTACAGAAAATGCCTACTAAAACAACATATAAACGTAAACATACTGAAAAAAGCTCTACTAGTTTCGAACCATAGAGGGGTTCTTCATCATGAGCGTTGGCGCCTGCATCGCTGTAAATGGTTGCGCTGCGGCGAGTCTAACGCGCCATCTGCCGGATACTACGCGCGTTTGCTTCCAACACCGGCGGCGGCGCGTGTGACCAGTGGCGCGGGTAGTGGGTTCGATTCCGGGCCCAGCACAAAGTCAGTGTTACATATAACGCTTACTGTGTCACACTCCAGACCTGATACGCCCCGAACCGACGTAGTCTCTAAGCTCGGCTTCCACGCGGGTGGCAGTGCCCATTCACTATCCCTGTTGAAGTACGGACGTCGGCTAATCTCGATGGCCTCTCGCACTTTTCGCGGAACGAAGTATTTCTCCCTCGCTAGTACGGAGACCTTATCAAACCGTATGAAGTGAACAGCATCCGTACCGCAAACATGTTCAGCCATAGCCGATGCCTGGATGTCAATCTTCTTCACGCTGCGTATATGCCCCTTTAGCCTGGTTGTGATGTTGCGCCCAGTTTCGCCGATGTAACTCGAGCCACAGTCGCGCGGTATTATGTACACCCCGGGCTCAGCCAGCGGATCCTTATCCTGTGGCGAGCGTAGCAGTTGTCTCAGCTGACCGGGTGGGCGAAAGATCGTTTTTGCAGCAGGTGTCCGATTCTGTCGGTTACTCCTTTCACGTATGTTAAGAACGCTGGAGTCCTTTCCGTAACTGCCGATCGCTTCCTACTCGAGCTGCTCGCTAGTCGAGTACATTGACGCCAGTTGTATCCATTGTTTTCCAGTATCCGTTTTAAATGGTGAAATTCGTCGTCAATGTACTGCGGATCGCATAGACTCAGCGCCCGGTTTATCAAAGTCCGGGGAACAGCGCTGTCGTGCTTGTGATATATACAGTAAGTGACATAGAGACACTTTCGACAAAATGGCGGTTAAAGGTTTTATTTTTACCATATCTTCAAAACTACAAGCCTCCACTAAGTATTTTTTAATTGTAGATAAAAATGTGATTATTTAATAATTTAATAATATTTATTTGTAAAGCTTAAATCTATATAAAAGTAGTTTAAAAAAATTAAAAGGTACAATAATAGTTTAAATACAAAGTCGTATTATTACCTTAAAATCAATAAGAATCAGTTCTATTAGTAACATTTAAAATAATAATAAAACATATCAATTATAATTCTTGTTAAAAACCAAATAATCTAAGTATTGTTTCTAAAAAATCAAACCTATACACCGTTTATTTTTTCATTCAAGTTTGTTATCCTTTTTACACAAAATAAAAAAACAATAAACATTAAAAAATACACTTTTTTTTCAAAAATAAAATTGCTTTCAAATTAACTTTCAGTCTTCGAAGGCACATTAGTTTCTCGCAAGTGCCACGAGGTGTAACACTTAACTATTATGACTAGATTGTGACATCGTCATTACACGAATTTAACAAAATCAGTCATCAAAATTAATAAAAAGGCATCGATGCATATTACAGCTACTCAGTAAATTATTTATCAGTCAGTAACTAAATAATACTTCGATTTAAATATTCTTCGGTTAATCTTTTTGACATCTCCTTTATGAATCAAAAAAGCCCTAAACATAATTATATCATGTCGATAGCGACCTGATACAGGCTCATTCCAACCAACTGCGAATGGCATTTCATCTTTGGATGTTTTTCCTAATGGCACGAAACTTTCATTTAATTTAAAGAAAAAATAACGAAAAATTTATAATCTGGGGTAATAAATTGATGCTTTATATTATATTAGTCTAATCTAAGTAACATGATTACTTTTTGTAAATCAACGGAATAACGGATTGTAGTTGACAACAATGATATTATCAACATCTTCTTTACATTTATTTGGGCACTCTGTATGTCTTAGTTTAAGAGCGTTATACTTGTTACGAACATCACGCGTAGTATCTGGATTTTTATCATATCCTTGGTTATGTAGTTTAAATATAGTACACAAGTCATATTCTTCTTTGCTAGATGATTAAACTATACATATATTTAAATATATTTTTACTATTTTGCGGTACGTTTCTAAATTTACTTTCACATAGGGAAACTTCGGATAAAGTTTTTGTTCATAATTGGCACATTAATTATAAGTATGTATAGGCGCCAAATGTAACTTGCTGTAATTATACCAAATCTTGGTTACTATACCACATTTTGAAATTTTAAATATACAGAAATGTAGGTCTCAATTTGTACAATCCAAATATACATGTATTTAACTCAATATCGACCACAATGTAACTTACTGTAATTTTAATAAGTACGGCAGACCGGTTAGGTGGGAAGGATGATGATGTTAGTCAGCTCGTAAGCTCTACTTATGAGCTGACTAACATCATCATCTCTGTGTGTGTCGGTTTGCGATACACTGTGTGTGACTGACGTGCACTGAGTCCAAGTGTCCCACAAATTCAGCCACATGTTTCCGGTTGATGATTGCGAATACGTCATCAACGTACCTCCACCAATATCGCGGTCGTACCGGGGCGGATGCCATGGCTTGACCCTCAAACCACTGCATGTAGATGTTAGCCACCACTGGCGCCAGTGGCGACCCCATAGCCACTCCATTCACCTGCAGGTAGTATT